TGACCACTCTTCGGGTACTGCTGCACATAGCTGCTCACCGCGACTACGAGCTGCACTCTCTTGACTTCAGCACTGCTTTCTTGCAGGGCAGCCTGCACGAGGAGATCTGGCTGCGTCGCCCACCTGGCTTCACTGGGTCTTTTCCTCCTGGCACCCAGTGGAGCCTCCGGCGACCAGTCTACGGTCTCCGCCAGGCACCGCGTGAGTGGCACGACACACTGAGGACTACACTTGCGGCTCTTGGGTTTGCTCCCTCTACTGCCGACCCGTCGCTGTTTCTGCGCACCGACACTTCTTTGCAGCCGTTCTACATCCTCGTGTACGTCGACGACTTGGTCTTTGCCACAGCTGACACTGCTGGACTCGCCCACGTGAAGTCCGAGCTGCAGAAGAGACACACGTGCACAGACCTGGGTGAACTGCGCAGCTACCTTGGCTTGCAGATCACCCGGGACAGAGCACGCCGCACCATTACCCTGACTCAGTCACACATGGTGCAGCAGGTCCTTCAGCGCTTCGGCTTCACGTACTCCTCGCCTCAGGCCACTCCTCTGCCTACTCGCCACTCGCTCTCAGCTCTGCCTTCGGATGAGTCCGTAGAGTCGAGTGGCCCGTACCCAGAGCTTGTTGGCTGCCTCATGTACCTGATGACCTGCACACGACCTGACCTTGCATACTCTCTTAGCATTCTTGCACGCTATGTTGCTCCTGGGAGACACAGACCGGAGCACATGGCTGCAGCGAAGAGGGTGTTGCGCTACTTGTGCAGTACGTCGGGCATGAGGCTTGTGCTTGGAGGGCAGAGTCCAGTGGTCCTCACTGGGCACGCAGACGCTTCTTGGGCTGACGACCAGGCTACGCAGCGGTCGTCACAGGGTTACACCTTCAGCCTTGGTTCCGGCTCTGTTTCGTGGCGGGCTACTCGCTCGTCTTCTGTTCTCGGCTCCAGTTGTGAGGCTGAGATCTACGCCGGGGCCATGGCTGCACAGGAGCTTCGCTGGCTCACCTACCTGCTGACTGACCTCGGAGAGCCGCCTCGTTCTCCTCCAGTGCTCTACGTAGACAACAAGGCCATGCTGGCCTTGTGTCGAGAGCAGAGACTGGAGCACAGAACGAAGCACATTGCTCTTCGCTACTTCCTTGCTCGTGAGCTACAGCAGCGTGGTCAGCTGCGACTTGCGTACGTGGCCTCTGAGGCCAACACTGCTGATATCTTCACCAAGGCACTTGCGCCTTGTGATCATCAGCGCTTCTGTACTCAGCTGGGTCTTGTACCTACCTTGCCTCACTTGCTCACCTCTTGATCTTGTTTGTACTGTTGCATATATATATACTCCTGCTCTTACTTGTCTAGCCTTATATGTATATGTAATCCTGCATGTGAACTGGCCTTGTGGCCTTGAACTTGTGCTCGGAATGTGTGGTGACTTTGTGATCCACCCTGAGCTTGCTTTGCTTTGCTTGACTGGTCTTGTGACCCCTTGTTCTCCCCCACTTTGCCTATGGGGGTGTGTCAGAGTTATATGACATAGCTACTGTAGGCTATAGTGGGGTAGCACATATGGGGTACAGTTGCCTAGGGTTTGCCTTTTGTACCCAACTTTCACTTAGTCATTTCATTTCCTGTTTTCTTGATTCACAGGGTGGATGCAACTGCGACAGGCGTTCCGCATGTTAGTATCACAGCAAACCGGTAAGAGGAAAGCACGGAAATATGAGCTTGCAGCCATGTTACCATTGAGCCTATGCACCCTTCCCAGATTGAGACTCCACTTCTCTCATATTGGTAGAGTCTTCCTACGAGTTGTAAATAGGAAGAGTGCGCAGAAGTCAATAACAGGGATCTGATAACAACGAAGCCTAGCAATGATATAGCGGATTGGGTGCTGGTCAGGGGCTGCCAAGCCAAAGGCTGTAGGTGACGCGTGAAACGTTCGGGAGGCGAGACGGTTGGACCGAACCTAGACTTCCAGGAACTTGGGGTCGTACGCATACAGCGTGACTCAGTAAGAAAATATGAAAATTCCTTACACATACGCCGCACTGTAGTTACCACAGGAAAAGGACCAGTTCCACACTTCCACCCAGGGAAAGTACATGCCAGCTCTTTAGTTTAAAAAATCTCTCAAATTTAGTCCCAGGTTTACTCAAAAGGTACAACTCAATGGAATTTTGCTCACGCGTAGCCTACAGAATGTTCAAAACTGGTCCTGCGGGGCAAACTGTTTGACACGTGTCCATTTTCGCATTGGAGATTTTTTACGGGGGGGGGGAAACATAAAACCCCTGGGGAACCAGGACACATATGCGGGATGGATCAACCCTAAACACCTAGCGGGTCCCCGTGTTTAGGGTTGATCCCTCCCGAAATGTATCCTGGTTCCCCTAGGGATTTTATGTTTTTTTCCCCGTCAAAAAATCTCCAATGCGAAAATGGACACGTGTCAAACAGTTTGCCCCGCAGGACCAGTTTTGAACAAAATGTGGGCCTCGCGTGGGCAAAATTCCATTGAGTTATACCTTTTGAGTAAACTTGGGACTAAATTTGAGAGATTCTTGAAACTAAGGAGCTGGCATGTACTTTCCCTTCCACCCACCCACTAGCCAAGTTGCGTTGAATGGCGACGGACAGAAATTCGTCGCTCGGCGACAGAACTATATGTCGTTAGGGCACCCCCTCACGTCACACAACAGAGAAATGTTTCGCAATGGGTTGTCGCCGCCACCACAACGACACGCGTCGCCTCGCCATTCGAAGCCAAGGCCGTACTCACACAACTGAGGTGGAGCCGGCCAGGGCTTTGGGGGAGAGCGAAGGGGGCGCAGGTGGGAGGGAGGGAGAGCGGAGAGGAGAGGGGGTTGCTGCTGTGTGGTGTGGTTCGATTTTGTGTGGCACGTGACAGTCCCGGAGAGCATTTAGCCGTTGGATCAACTATCTGCTTTCAAATGGAGGGCAGGAGCAGGCCACCACCGTCAGCTTCCCAACTCAGCCAATCCGAACAGATATCCAAATTTTAGGTACCAGTTTGAACCGATCTAATGCTGGATTCTCCTGAAGCGGATCATAAAGCAATTTTCTGGAGCCTTCGCCCACACGTCCTTATTCAACGTCAGGTCCTTATCTTGCCATTCATGTCCTCCGCTTCCGCGTTGCAAGTTTTTCGATTGGGGGATTGGTGTGGGACTGTGGGAGGGAGCTTGTTTCCGCTCAGAAACAAGTTTCGTTCGAAGAACCTAACGGTCACCGCGATTCGTCAGAATACCCGGCCGTAGATGGCGACTACAGAACACTGTGCACATTTCGAGCCGCCGATGTCGAGCGGCACGGCGTGGGGGACAATCCTCAGTCCTGCTGTCTTTTCCGCACATGGCGACATCGCACTGTTTCGCACTCCCTCAAGCGTCGCACGAATTTCAGGCATCGACTACCGACGTAATGGAGAGTGGCAGCTGTACTCGTACCGGCATCGTACAGTAGCAATACGTATCATCCGATCTACTACTAAAGTTGTGTATGATCCAGACTGGAACTTTTCGCGACGGTTGTTTGAGCGAAGCGCACTGCTGCGAAAGGACGTGCCACCCACACTCAGTATCAGTACAGTTACGTCTCTTCCGCAGGATGCGGAGCTCTCGGGGAATGATGCTGATCGCGACTCGTCACGGACAGGGCAAGTCGATTAGATTCGTCGATCGAATCTTTTGTCGTGATCACCCATTCCGGAATGAGAGGCTCCCAGCACAGGCTGATCCGTCCGCGTCGCTTTCTCATATATTCCGGCCTCGGGCTGTCATTCCTAACGGTCACGTTTCGATTTTCAATGGGAGGAAGGAAGAAAAGGAAGGAATAGGCGTTTCGTTCCCAGTGCTGCTGCTGATCGCTCGCTCTTCGTTCAATGCTGATCTCGTGATTACACGCCGGCGACACTTCGATTGCTGATCGAGGCAGGAACTCTCTTTCTCAACCTAGGTCGATCGCCTACTGCGGTATCACGTAAGAGAATTCTAACTTCAGCGGAACCTAGGGTTTTCACACTTCCAAATCAGTGCGAGGGTATTGCATGACGAGTCCAGCAGCAGCATCGGTACTACCACAACTGCTAGTAGTAGCGAAGCCGCGACAGCCCTCTAAGAGCCACGCGAGATTCGATCAAGTTTCTGCATGACCATAACGAGATTTGGTGCTGAGCACAAGAGCACGTAACTATCACAAAAACAAAAGAAACAACCGCTCCGCAATGGAGGCTTGTGATTATATCGAGTTCGGTCTCCCCGGATCCGTGCTGTACCGGGGCTTTCTCCTGTCCGAATCGGACCCTCAAGGTCCCAGCACCACCAGCGTACGACGAGAACCACCCGTAGGCACGATCGGTTCTGGATCCAGCGATGGCGCACCGTCCTCCTCCTTCTCCTCCTTCTCATCCTTCTCGTCCTTCTCCTCGTCTTCGTTTTCGCCGATTTCAAATAATCAGTCTGGGCGAGATCAGGAAGACGCCACGATCCTCCACCCGATCTCCACGTGGAATGACGTTCCGATTCGCCCAGCTGATTCACCCCCCGCTTTATCTGACGGCGGCGGCGGCGGCGGCGGTGTTAGCTTCGCGCGAGCGTTGCAGAGATCGATTGGTGAAAACAGTTGTGCAACGGAAGCGGCGGGTGTGAGGGGTCCGGACTTGATCAGGGCGGGGGAGGTTCCAGATTTGATCAGCGCGGGCGAGAGCGTTTCTATGGTGTGCTGCACGCCGCGAAACTCGTGGGTGCAAGTCGAGGCGGCTTATAACGAGGCGTGGCACCCTCTGCGCGTTCGCCAGGTGGACGGGTTACCCGCTCATTACAGTCGCAATCTCGATTGGAACCTCGGGATCATCCCGCAGACGTGCTCCTGCCGCCAAGGGGACAACATAGAAGGGGGTCTTCTGTCTGGATCTGGCGATTCTTGTTGTACGTCGCGCGACAAGGCATGCGACAGTGCAGCCTGCGACGCGGCGACGTGCGCGACCATGTGCGACAATGCGCGCGATAGGGCGTCTGACGGGGCGTGCGACAGGGCGTGCGACAAGGCGTGCGACCAGCACGCCCCTTTAGAGGTGATCGAAATCGGGCGTGGGGAGGCTCGAGTGGGGCAGGTGTATCCGGTGAAGCCGCTGCTCGCGTTCCTCGTCATCAGCCCCGATCTCGAGTCCTCCTGGAAGATTGTGGCCGTAGATTCGTCGGATCCGATGGCTGCGGCGCTGCTGGATTCGCCAAGTGGTTACCCGGTTTGGTTGGAAGCGAAGCTGCGCGAAATAGTGGAGTGGCTGAAATACTACAAGTGTAACACCGTGTGTAAGTGGAGCCTCCTCTCTCTCTCGCGTGAGCAAATGTTTTTCCATCAATTATAATAACTGACGCGTGAAGTGCACATGTCAGTGCACGTGTCAGTGCACATGTCAGTGCACGTGTCAGTGCACGTGTCAGTGCACGTGTCAGTGCACATGTCAGTGCACGTGTCAGTGCACATGTCAGTGCACGTGTCAGTGCACATGTCAGTGCACGTGTCAGTGCACATGTCAGTGCACGTGTCAGTGCACATGTCACCTCACCTCACCTCCCTCGCCACCTCAGTTCCCACTGGGTAGCGAGGCGTTACAACCGAACTATGCACCTCCCTAATACCCCTTCCATGCTCTCTCATGCCCTGCTCCCTGGCTCCTCCCTCCCTCTTACCCACCCTGATCTCCCCAGTCCCCCACCCTCTTCCGTTTTCTCTCACCGATCTTTTGTCTGTTGTCCTTCCCCCTGTCCCTCATCCCCTTACCCCTTCTACCCCCTTTCCTTCCCCCGCAAACCCCACCCCTCCCCCCTTTTTCCAGTCGATCTGCCCAGCACCATCGCGGGTTGTGAAAAGCCAGCGCCCTTGCATTGCACCTATTATCCTCCCCCCGCCTCACCTCGCCCGCATTCCTCCCCACCCCTTCCCACTCCTCCCCACCACTCCCTTCCACTCCCCACCCCTTCCCACCCCTTACCCCCCACCCCAATTGATCCGCCCAGCACCATCGTGGGTTGTGAGAAGCCAGCGCCCTTGGGTGGTCTCACTCATTTCTCCCCTTCACCCCACCCACCCCCCCCTCCCACCAGTTGATCCGCCCAGCACCATCGCGGGTCGTGAGAAGCCAGCGCCCTTGCATCGCACCATCGCCGCCATCAGCGCCGCCCATGCTGCCTGGACGCACTGCCACCGCCGCCGCCAGTGCTTCTCCTGCTGCCGCACCAACACCACGAGAAGCAGCAGCTGCAACATCAGCGGGAGCAGCTGCAGCAGTGGCGGTGGCGGCAGCACAGGCAGCAGCATTGGGAGGGGCGGCGTTGCACTGAAGGATCTGAGGCAGCTCGCAGAGCAAACGGCCTCCGCTGCTCTCACCAACGCCATCTCTGAATTCGCCCACGTGCCCTTCGCCGAACCTGCCTCCGTTGTTGCCGCCGCTGCTGATGCTGATGCCGCTGTTGCTGCTGGTGCTGCTACTGGTGGTGGTGGTGGTGCGGCTGCTGTTGCCGAGCCTCTGAGCCAGCAGGCTCGGAGGCAGCAACGCGTGTTCCGAAGGTCAGGCTCGGAGCCGGGCAGGTTTGGCATGCGAAAGAAGGCAATTTCCATCAAAATCGAGGAGGAAGCAGATGATGCTAGCAAGTTGGTAACCAGAATCAAGGACACTGGGGAAGAGGAGCGTACATATGCAAGAGAGAGCAGTGGTGGGGGAGGGGAGTGGGAGAGAGGAGGTGAGGAAGCATGGGGTGGATGTGATGATGCAGAAAGGCAGATGAAAGAAAAGCAGCAGCATAAGAAGCAGAAGCTGGGAGGGTTGGCGCGTTTGAAGGAGCGGTGGCAGCAGCAGCTGCAGCTGCAGCAGGGGAAACTGCAGGAGGAAAAGCCGCAAGAGCAGCAGCATGAGGAGGGGACGCAGCAGGGAGGCAACGTGACAAGGCATTGGCGATCATCCTCGTCCTGTGCGCTTGAGATTCCCACCGGAATGCTGCTAGACTCCCCCTCCCCTGTCACTCGCTCTTCTTCCTCCCTCCTCCCCCAACGCCAGCCCCTCACGCCCAACTCCTTGCCGCGTCCTCCCCTCCCTTCTCTCACCCCCCGCTGCCTTCTGCGTGCGTTTTCACCCTCGTCCTCCTACCACAAGCAGCCGGTGTCACAGTCTGTACTTTACGACAGCAGCAGCAGCAATAGTAGCAGTAGCAGCAGCAGCAACAGCAGCAGCAGCAACAGCAGCAGCAGCATCAGCAGCAGCAGCGGCGTCTTCAGCTGCAGTGCAGTCAACGCTGACATCCATCCCAACACAGTGATCACCAGCAGCAGCAGCAGAGGCAGCAACAGCAGCGGTAACACCAGTGGCACCAGCACCAACAGCACGCAACAAAAGCGCCGATCGCCTTGCCTTCGCATCCTAATCCCATCTCATCTCTTGGACGCCCCACCCTCAGCTTCTCTGCCAACAATCCCCTCCCTTTCTCCTGACTCGGCCTATCCTCCCTTGAACCCCCCCCCTGGTATGGGCTGTCCCTTACCCTCTCCCTCGCCGTCTCCCTCGCCGTCTCCCTCTCCGTCTCCTGCTCCTCTCTTGGACGCCCCACCCTCAGCTTCTCTGCCAACAATCCCCTCCCTTTCTCCTGACTCCGCCTATCCTCCCTTGAACCCCCCCCCTGGTATGGGCTGTCCCTTACCCTCTCCCTCGCCGTCTCCCGCGCCGTCTCCCGCCCTCTGTATATTCTCCTCCTCCTTGTTCTCTCCCTTCTCCTCCTCCTCGGTCTCTCCTTTCAGTTCGGTTCCAAGGAACTCCACTCATGTTGAGAGAGGAGGCAGGTTCGACTTTCAGCGGTCCATCTCCGCTCAGACCGAGCGGGAGTCTCAAAAACCGGCTGGGAGGGCTGGGAAGCTGGAAAGGTGTGGCAAGTCGGGGGAGGTTGTTGTGGGTCTGGTGGCTGTTACCCCGCGTGGGAGAGCTGGAAAGCTGGAAAGGTGTGGGAAATCCGGAGAGGTTGGTATGGGTCTGCTGCCTGATATACCTGCTGGGAAGGGCGCGAAGCTGGAAAGGTGTGGCAAGTCAGGGGAAGTTGGCAATATAAGCGCCTCTTCCGTTGAGAGAGGAGGGAGGTACGATTATCGGCGGTCAATATCTGCTCAGACCGAGCGGGAGTCTCAAAAACCACCTGGGAGGGATGGGAGGCTAGAAAGGTCTGGCAAGTCGGGGGAGGTTGGCAGTGGTCTGGTGGCTGTTACCCCACCTGGGAGGGCTGGGGACTTTGACAGGGATCGGATGGCTGTTACCCCATCTGGGAGCGCTGGGAAGCTGGAAAGGTGTGGGACGTTCGGGGAAGTTGGCAAAATAGGCGCCGATTCCGTTGAGAGAGGAGGGAGGTACGACTTTCAGCGGTCAATCTCTGGGCAGACCGAGCGGGAGTCTCAAAAACCGCCTGGAAAGGCTGGGAAGCTGGAAAGATGTGGCAAGTCAGGGCAGGTTGGCATGACTCGGCTGCCGCATACCCCACTTGAGAAGCTAGGTGCAGGCGTGCTGCCTGATACACCAGAAGAGCGGGCTAGACTTCCCACGACGCCGAGGGCAGGTTCTCATGTTTCCATATCTTTTAAGGGACACAGCGGGCTGCTGGAAACTCTGAAAACGCCGAGAATACCCAAGACGGCCAAAACGCCAGGAACGGCAGAAACGGCCAGCACGCCTAATGCTCCAAACGCATGCAGTGAGCTGCCGCTGATGGCCGCGTGGAGGCTGCTCGATCCGGCTGTCACTCCCCCCACTACGGGCCGCCGCGCGTTGGCTGAAGATTTTTCTCAGACACTGGAAACGGCCAACACCCCTAATGCTTCACAAGCATGCAGTGGGCTGCCGCTGATGGCCGCGTGGAGGCTGCTCGATGCGGCTGTCACCCCTACTACGGGTCGCCGTGGTAGGAGTGGTAGGGAAGGGTGTGGTGGCGGCGGTGTGGCACGCAGTAATAGGATTGTCACTCCTACTACAGGTCGCAGTGATGGGAGTGGTATGGGAGGGTGTGGTGGTGAGGGGAGTGGGAGGAGGAGAGGGGCGAGGAGACAGCTGTGGGTGATGGCTGGTGAGTGCCCGGTGGATTTGGGCAGTGATAGGGGTGATAGGGTTGATGGGAGTTCCAAAAGTGGTAGGGGCGACAGGGAAGGGTGTGGTGGTGCGGGAAGTGGGAGGAGGGGAGGTGGGAGGAGGCAGCCGTGGGAGGTGGCTGATGAGAGGCCTGTGGATGAGAGCAGTGATAGGGTTGATGGCGGTGGTGGCGAGGGGAGTGGGAGGAGGAGAGGTGCGAGGAGACAGCTGTGGGTGGTGGCTGATGAGAGCTCATTGGATGGGAGCAATGTCAATGCCACCCCTACGGGTCGCCGTGCGCTGGCTCAAGGTTCTCAGACGGATTTTGGCGAGGGATGTGGGAGGAGGAGAGGTGCGAGGAGACAGCTGTGGGAGGTGGCTGATGCGAGCTCATTAACTGTGAGCAGTGATAGGGGTGGTCATAGGGGTGATGGGTTTGACAAGATTGGGAGTGATTGGGAAGGGTGTGGTGGCGGTGGTGGCAAGGGGAGTGGGGGGAAGGGAGGTGCGAGAAGGCAGCTGTGGGTGGTGGATGATGAGAGGCCAGTGGATGGGAGCAGGGATAGCGGTGGTAGGGATGGAAGGGAAAGGAGTGGCGGCAAGGGGAGTGGGAGGAGGGGAGGAGCAAGGAGACAGCTGTGGGTGATGGCTGATAAGGGCTCAAATGTGGGTGGTGATAGGAGTGATACGGGTGATAGGGAAGGAGGTGGTGGTGGTGGTGGCGATGGCAAGGCTGCTGCTGCCGCTGCTGTTGCTGCTGATGCTGGTGGTGGTGGTGGTGGCGGTGGTGTGACTGCTGCTTTCAGTTCACTTGCAGAAAGAGATACAGCACAGCGGCTCAGCAAGGCGGATGAAGCTGCCGGAAGCAACGGTGACGGCAGCAACGCGTTACCAATGCACAGAACTGGTAGCAGTGGCAGTGGCAGTGGCAGTGGCAGTGGCAGTGGCAGTGGCAGTGGCAGTGCCAGTGCCAGTGCCAGTGCCAGTGCCAGTGGTGGTGCTGGTTGTGCTGGTGGTGCTGGCGGTGCTGGTGCTGCTGGTGCTGCTGGTGCTGCTTTTGGTGCTGGTGCTGGTGAGAAGAGCAGCAGCAATAGCAGGATGCGCAAGGCAGTGTTCAGGAGCAAGGAGGCAGCTGAGGCTGCTGCTGCTGCTGCTGCTGCTGCTGCTGGTGCCAGTGGTGCTGGTGCTGCTGGTGCTGCTGAAGGTGCTGCTGCTGGTGCTGGTGCTGAAAAGAGTGGCGGCAACAGCAGGATGCGCAAGGCAGTGCTGAAGCTGTTCGGGAAGAGCCGAAAAGGGAAAGGGCAGAGCCAGGTTGCACCTTTCCCCATCCCGGATCACCCTCCCCTGCATGCACCTAGTGTTGGGGCGCCTCTGAAGGTGGTTGGGAGGGGGCAGAGTCAGGTCGCACCTTTCCCAGAACCTGACCCCCCTGCCCTGCATGCACCCATTTCTGAGACGCACAAGAAAGTGGCTGGTAGGTGGAACCAGGTCTCGCCTTTTCCAAACCCGGACCCCCCTGCCCTGCATGCGCCTATTTGTGGGACGCCCACAAAGCCCCCTTCCAGTGGTAGCAGAAGCAGCAACAGAAGAGGCAGCACTGGCAGCAATTTCAAGTCAGCAGCAGCAGCGTGGGTGGTAGGTCAGCCATTGCCTGTAAAAGCAGGACTTGCCTCTGAGACGATTCAAAAGTCAGCAGCAGCAGAGCTGGTGGCGGGTCAGCCATTGCCGGTAAAGGCAGGGATTGCTTCTGAGTCATCTCGAAAAGAAGCAGCAGCAGCAGCAGCAGCAGCACCAGCAACACCAGCAGCAGCAGAGCTGGTGGCGGGTCAGCCATTTCCTGTAAAGGCTGGGATTGCTCTCGCATGTATTCTTGCTGCGGCCATTGCCCTTCTCCCCTCTGCTACAGATTCTGCTGTCACAGCCACTGCTGTTACAGCCAGTGGCTCTGCTGAGACTTCCGCCCTCGCCTCCCTCCCCCCTGCTGCTACTCTTGCTGCTGCTTGTGCTGATGCTGCTGCACCTGCTACTACAACCGCTGCTTCTACTGAGGAGCAGCAGCAGAAGCAGCAGCAGAAGCATGAGGAGGATTGGAGGGAGGCGGAAGAGAGGGATGAGGAAGCGGGGGAGGAGGAAGAGAGGGATGAGGAAGCGGGGGAGGAGGAAGAGAAGGAGGAGGAAGCGGAGGAGGTGGGATTGAGGGAGGAGGAAGAGAGGGAGGAGGAAGAGAGGGAGGAGGAAGAGGGGGAGGAGGAAGCGAGGGAGGAGGAAGAGAGGGGAGACCTAGAGGAGCAGCAGCAGAAGGGTGAGGAGGAGTGGAGGGATATGGATGAGGGGGGTGTGGCACTCGAGGAGGAAGGGAGGGAGAATGAGTGGAATGACATGGTTGAGAGGAAGCGTAAGGGTGTGGAAGAGGAGGAGCAGCAGAAGAGTGAGGAAGAGGGGAGGGATGTGGGTGAGAGGGCTACGAATCTCAGGGAGGAAGAGAGGGAGAACGGGGATGGGGGGAAGCATAAGGGCAAGGAGAACGAGGAGGAGGAGGAGGAGGAGGAGGAGGAGGAGGAGGAGGAGGAGGAGGAGGAGGAGGAGGAGGAGGAGGAGGAGGAGGAGGAGGAGGAGGAGGAGGAGGAGGGTGATGGGTGTGCTTATAGCGAAGCCCTTGCTGACTGTGTGTACAGTGATGATCCTTCATCGAATGGGGATGATGCGTCGGTGAATGCTCTCGAGGAAGATACTCACACCAGGGATGACTGGAGCACTACAGACGACTGTAGCAGCAGATACGGCTGGAGCAGCAGTTGTAGCAGCAGAGGCAGTGCCTTCAAACGAGCTTTGCAGCGCCGCAACAGCATGAGCAGTGCAAGCCTGATGTGCAGTGGAGGGGGTGCGGGTAGCGTGGGCCGTGCAAACCTGGTGTGCAAGCAGGGTCTCGGTGTAGACGTGTGTGGTTGTCCCTTTCGCCGCCCCTCTTACCAACGCACATCTGGACGGACTTTCCAGCGAGGCAACAGCCTGAGCAGTGCAAGCCTAGTGTGCAGTGTTGGGAGTGCGAGCCTGGTGTGTGAGCGCATCTTGAGTATGTGTGATGTCTCACCTGTCCCCATCGTCCTTTCCTCCCACCTGGGCAGTGTGGGTTGGTCTCGTGCGGCTGCTTCTGCTGAGAGACTCGATTCGTACTATGCAGACGAAAATTCATACACAGCAGCGGCAGCAGCAGCAGCAGCAGCAGCAGAAGAAGAAGAAGCCAAGTCATGCTCCGTGTCTTCAGTAGCAGCAGCAGCTGCAGCAGCAGCAGGCGAAATGTTTTTTCAGGCTGCCCCGCAGTTGCCAAGGCGATCAGCAGCAGGCCGACAGGTGGGCTTACAGGCGGGTGCATCTAGACGGCTCCGTCGCACATCCACCTGCCCTGATGATGTTGAGGGCATGCCCTCCTGCCTTGTGCACCTACAAGCAGTATCAGCAGCAGCAGCAGCAGCAGCAGCAGCAGCAGCAGGAGCAGCAGCGCTTGCATCAGCGGCACCTGCCTCAGCAACAGACCGACAGGCGGGTGCGTCTAGAAGACTCCACCGCACCTCCACCTGCCCAGATATTGAGGCCATGCCGCTCCCACTACAATCCCCACTGTCATCTCGTGTTCCTCAATATCCAGCCTTGCAAGAAGGAGCAGCAGCAGTACCAGAAGAGACAGAAGCAACAGACGAAGCAGCAAGAGAAGCAGCAGGAGAAGCAGCAGGAGAAGGGGAGGGAAGAAAGGAGGGGCTGGAGTCACTTGAAGCGCGGTTGAGGCGATGGCATGAGAGCATGGGTGCATCATTAACCCTGAATGAGCACGAGGGCATGGGGGGAGGACACATGGGGGGGATGGGGGCCGGGCTGTTTCTCCCCGGCCTGCCCCACTGGACCAAGCGGTCGCTCCCTCGCTCGCTGCGCATCTCCCGCTCGCTACTCTCTTTTTCAGAGCAAGCCCTGATGGAGCACCGCCAGGAGAAGGCCCTCCTACATAACGTGGTTGGCAGATTAGACGGGGAAAACGGGTGTGAAAACGATCAGTGGAATGAGGATAACGGGGAGAGCGGAATGGAGAGAAACGAGTCGAAGCAGGCGAGGACGAGTGTGCAGGTGAAAAGCGAGAGCTCTCTCCTGTCAGCAGCAGCGGCGGCGGTGGCAGCGCCGGTGTCCCCCGGAGAATCCATCCGGGCGGCTGTGGCCGTCTATTCCGCCTCGAGGGAGTTATGGCGGCCTCCTTGTATACCCAAGCCTGTGAAACAAGCCAAGCTGTGCCTCCCCAGGTACTCCCCCCCTGTGCCTCTTATTGGGCTGGAGAAGCTGATGGAGGGCGCAGCAGGGGGAGGTGGGACTGGGGCAGGTGGGACTGGTGGGTTTGCTGGGTCTGGTGGGGGTAGTGGTTGGGGTTTGGGGACCGGGTGGTGGGGTGTGGGGGGAGGGACAGGGGAGGAGGGGAGGGGGAGGAAGGAGGAGCCGGGAGAGGCGGGGTGGCTGGGGTTTGAAGGGTTGGTGGATGTGGCACGAGGGATGATGTGGGGGGAAGGGGGGGGTGAGGGTGGAGAGGAGGCGAACGAGGAGGGGAAAGAGAGGGGGTTGGGTACAGACAAAGGAATGTGCATGGGAGGTAAGGAAGAAGGGGCAGAGACAGTGGGAAGAGAAGAGGGGGGGTCGACTGTAGGAGAGGAGGGGAAATGTTGTGAGAAAGGAGGAAACAGGGAGACACTGCAGGAATGGCAGGATAGGGACGAAGAGCGTGGGTGACATTGTAGGATTGTTCTGGAAGGAATGAGCTAAAATAATAAAACAGTGACTCACCTTGGATTGGAATGCGTTAGAGTATACTTACAGGTGTTTCGTCTTGTACAGATCTTCTGCACAAACTCATTCAAATGATTGTGATCGGTGTAGTCTAATCATGATGGCATATTTTTCTCTCTACGCGCTTTTGTTTTAGCAATGTCCAGTTGATTATATATATTGCAAGAAGTACATATGTTGTAAACTCTGCAGAAAATGTTCCTCTGCCCGCACATAAAAAATCGTGCATTTGGGATGTATGGTCTTGGCTTACCTATTCATATGCAACTTTCTATAACCGCAAATTGTTCGTTTTGTTATGTGCAATTCCATTTGTACCACTTTGCCACACAGCGAGGCGGTCGACTTCGAGGAACACCCTGGCGGGAAACGAATTATTTGGGACGCATCCATCCCATCCCGTCACCGCCGGCATCGCCTCGTCCCTCGATCGTTCAGGGCAGACGCAACGACGGAGCTTCGACGCAGTTCCCCATGGCTCACCAACCAAACCAGTCGCAGGACAGCACACCAAATCTGCGGTCCCATACCGCAGATCACGCTGGCAAATTCTGGCGACTGTCGGCGATGTGTCGGAATGACACGACGGCTGCAAGAGTTGACGTTTTGTCATCGCTGACAGGGTGGTCTTTGACGGGAAGCGGCGAAGCTGACTGTTCCAACGACTCCAAACCAGACGCCCATCTACACCCAACCGTCAATTTCAAGACAATACAGACGACGACGGCAACTCTGCCGGGCAAGATGCACCTTTCGTTTCCCTCCAAGTCACCAACACACTACAGATCCCTAACCAATTCAGAAGAGTGAGTAGGTCTCTCAAACCCAACCAAACCATATCACCTTTCCAACCTGACCTCGCATCGTACTTCACCCTGCTTTCAAAGTATTCAAGCCTACTCCACCGCTTGATTCTCCTTCACAGCACATGAACTTTTCTGGCGTCTCCATGTTTTCAACCTAGTTGCGATGGTGTCCCTGCGCAGGAAAGCAATCTCAGGTTCATCCATGGCGAAGCATGTCAGCAATATGCCTTTCCAGCTTTTCCTCAGTCAGGATCACCATCTCTGCCAAACCAACCCCGACTATGTCGCAAACACATCACTTAGGCCGTAATGGCCGGGACTGCTTAGAACTTAACCTCTCTCCCCGGAAGTCGAGGAAGAGCCACACCATCTGCAAAAGTAGATGCTGACATCACATCAATTACAGTAGTCACCGGACGGAGGTGTTAGCTTGTTCCATCGTTCCTGTCCCAAACCCGACTGAGGACTCCGCAGATTCCGGAGAGATGACTCCCAAATGCTGGTGGACATCTTTCCTGTCATAGACACCGTGACAGCCCGTCAGTCGCCCAACTCTTCCGTTCGGCTGTTGCCGACAGTTTCCCCTTAGAGGACTTGGCACTGAGTCATTCAACGAATAGATGGCTAGGATGACTTTACCTACGTGGTACAAGGATCAGCATGGAGACTCGGAGCTCCGGCGTTCATCTTCGCAGAAGGAGCGTAGCTCGTTCGCGAAGTTTTCGCCGGCTAGGATGATGGCAGAAGTCAGATTCCCAGAGGTTAAAGTCCCAAACGTTCGCATTCCTGACGTTAGACTCCTACAGGTCAAGCGTTCGGAAGCTAAGATGACTGAACAGAAGAGTTCTGATGTCGCTGATAGTTCTCAAATGTCAACCCTAGACTTCGTTTCCAAAGCCACGTCAGGTGAGTGAGCAGGCATTTCGTTAGTTAATTTAGCTCCGTCGCTCGCGAGTTTCTTAGGTTGTATCAGGACGTTCACTGACAGAGGTGAACCTCTGTGGATGCAGCTTTTCAAGTAGCGACTACCAAGGCTAAGCGCGCATTCACGGATTTAAGACGGGATGGACCTCCGTCTGAAGCGCCGGCTCCGTCCAGCCTTCCGACATCCCCACCGACTCCTCCCCAACCTTTCCATGGTGCTTACCTAAAAACACACTTTAGTTTACGACCTGCTAATTCACATTAAGAATTCTATAGTAGGTTAACTCGACTTAGTGCTTCATGAAAAACCTTCGCTAAGAGCTCGGCCGTTGGAATGTGCAGGGTGGGGTTATCCGTGGTTGCTCAAGGCAAGCCCCAAAACCAGCCACTCTGAAGAACTCAGCAGAAGAGTTGCTGAGCTGTCGAAGGTATAGAACTGCGTAGATCGTTTCATCACTTCGGTTATGTTCTGTGTGTTTGTTTTTTCGTTTTAGGGGAGAGGGAGGGGGTTGGGAGGGAGGGGGGGTGGGGAGTTTCATTGTTATGACATACACGCATGACCTAATTTCAAGGATTCCATCTGATGTCATCAGGAGCCGCAAAAGTTTCTCATGGTGGGGGTTTCCGACGACCGCGCCGAGCACTACGTGAACCTGGAGAGCGCGTTGCTCTCTGCTCCAGCCATTCTCGAGGTACTATCCTTGAAATTCCAGTAGATTTTTTATATATGAAAAATTCCGTTAGAAACCCATTGAATTTCGACACCCTTTTGTTTCTTGACACCTCTGTCCATAACTCGCGGTTCATTTAGTCGTGCTCTGTGATGCTTTCTTGTCTGACGCCTCGAAACTCACTGACTCCGTTTTGTCCCCACTCTCAGGCGGACGATCACCTGAGCAGAATCTTTTCGGAATTCGTGCCTCGGCTGGTCTCGGAAAGGGAGTTCTGGAAGCGGTATTTCTACGTGGTGGCGAAGGTGGAGCTTGAATTAGAGCACGAGGAGGACTGGGGTGCTGCGGACCCTTCCCCTCTCGGCTCCCCTGCGAGTGTGGGATCGCACGGACGACTTTTCTCGCTTCCCATGTGGAATCCCAAGGAACGGGTGAGTTCTTGAGTTCCATGTTTGAGGCGCCTAATCCATTGCAAGAAGCGACGAAGCCATCGGGAATTGTCGACAGGAAAACTAGCGACAGTGTTCAATGATTTACAACCCGATGTTTTTTTTTATTGGGAGCTTGCAGATATCTGTGCTATATTGACGTTGTACTGTACTGTGATATACTGTACTACATGTACAGGACCTGAATGGCAGCACCTGCAGCACAACGACGAGCGTGTGCAGCTTTGGAAACGTCGACCCGCCGAATATCCCATCCTCTGTGCTCCTGCGGAATCTTGCCCAGGCTGTCAGGTACGTTGGTCATCACGAAACCACCGCCTATCACGCTCTACCACCATCAACCACCATCAACCACCATCAACCGCAGTGATGCCACCATTAGTCTCGGGTTTTGCAAAATATTCGGATTCCTGTTGAACATCTCAATCCGCACGATCCCCGTTTCTTCTGCTCACGACACGTAAAGCACCACTTATTCCCCCATCACGTTAACGTCAACGTTACCGTCTGTGCGCGCAGCTACTCGGCTCCGTTTGCGACGCTCAAGGACCTGGTGAACCACAACGGCAAGTGGCCGGGGACCGCACTTGCGCAGGCTGTGGGAGCTGGGATTGGCCGAGCCTTCTCTCTCTCCTCTATATCGAATGTGAATGACGTTGACAGTACGGATGACATGATTCAAAGGCTTCTTAGCTCAGGTTAGTACCACGGCTTCAACATGCTTCTGTATCTTGCAGTCACTTTTGAGAGTTTCCAAATGTCTAAGGTTTCTTTGACATTTTGTCCGTAAAGAAACTTTCAGTTGCTGCCCGCCTTGCCATTGAACACACGCATGACCCGAGAATGTATCCCTTCTCTACGATATCAGGCCAGTGTCGTGCTTGCATCACTTTTGAGATGGAATTCTCAACAGTGATACAAGCGCATCTCACTCACGGCCAACGAACTTGTCTCTGGCCTTGATATCAGACCAGAGTGGTGAATGAAAACAGGCCTCCCCTCCCGTCCCCCCACCCTTCCCGCTTGCAAATTTCAGTCAAGCACCAAGCATCCACACAAACACGGCCCTGGCTGATGTTCATAGCTGATACTAATTTCTGTGTGTTCTTTTCAACGACAGGAGAAGATGCCGCATTTGATTGCAGCTGCGACACCTTCAGCGGCAGCAGCAGCGGCGGCGGCGCCACGAGCAACAGCAAGCCCGCACAGGAAAAGCCGAGCGACGCCGCCCCGTCAGCAGCAACAGCCCTGGTGCACTCAGTGCACGGGGCGTACCCGGACAGCTTTGTGGCGCAGGTGGCGGCGCTCATGGCTGAACTACCTTCGGAAAAGGACATGGCACAGCTCTGGCTGGCACTGGTAGAACAGGTGAGCTGCTGCTGCAACTGATACTGGAACTGCTGGTGCAACTGTTTTGCATGAGCGTTGGCGCTTCTTGAGAGCTCCATTCGTAGCTCTTGCCTTTCCGATGGTGCTCCTTCTGAATTCATTCCTCTCTGGTGGGTGGTGCTCTTCCCTGTCTGTTGCCCTTCTCCCTTTCCCTCTCATTGCGTTCCATTGTGTTCCCCGTCACTGCAGCTTCGGGTGCGGTGGAAGCAGGGGGTGCCAGTGCCGCATGTAGCAGCAGGCAGGGACGGGCCGGACCTGCGGCTGTGCGAGGTGATGCAGCACCTGCAGCTGCTCAACTGAGACAAGTTTCTAGTCGACTCACAACTGTTTCCCTTTTGTCCTCTCTTTCACGGTGTTCCATTGTGTTCACCCTCACTGCAGCTGCGGGTGCGGTGGAAGGCGGGAGTGCCGGTGCCGCATGTAGCAGCAGGCAGGGACGGGCCGGACCTGCGGCTGTGCGAGGTGATGCAGCACCTGCAGCTGCTCAACTGAGACAAGTTTCTAGTCGACTCACAACTGTTTCCCTTTTGTCCTCTCTTTCACGGTGTTCCATTGTGTTCACCCTCACTGCAGCTGCGGGTGCGGTGGAAGGCGGGAGTGCCGGTGCCGCATGTAGCAGCAGGCAGGGACGGGCCGGACCTGCGGCTGTGCGAAGTGATGCAGCACCTGCAGCTGCTCAACTGAGACAAGTTTCTAGTCGACTCACAACTGTTTCCCTTTTGTCCTCTCTTTCACGGTGTTCCATTGTGTTCACCCTCACTGCAGCTGCGGGTGCGGTGGAAGGCGGGAGTGCCAGTGCCGCATGTAGCAGCAGGCAGGGACGGGCCGGACCTGCGGCTGTGCGAAGTGATGCAGCACCTGCAGCTGCTCAACTGCTGCATCGCGCGCCAGCGCCGGCGCAAGGCGATCGGGTTTGCGTGTAAACTCCCCGGCTCAGCAGCAGCAGGAGCAGCAGCAGGAACAGGTGGTGGTGGTGGTGGTGGTGTAAGTAGGGGTAGCAGCAGGAAGATCAGGGAATCGCTGTCAGAAGGTGCTGCTGGTGCTTCCGGTCGTTGCGATGCTTCAGGGGACGCTGTTGCTGCGGTGAGAAGTGCGAGTTTTGGTGTCGACGTGTGCGTAGGAGCAGAGGAGCAGAGCAGAGCAGAGGTGACACTGAAAGCACTGGGAGCACAAGATGCAGATACTGAATTTGCGAATTGCAGCAGCGAAGGCACATGCGTCGTGCCTGAAGCAGGGAGCATGGAACCCTGTGACTGCGTTACGAACCCACCGGAGGAGGCTCACACAGCAGCAGCAGCGGCAGCAGGAGCAGCAGGATCAGCAGCTGGTGACGACGTGGCATCTGGGGCGGTCAGAAGTGCGAGTGTGCATGCAGGGGATGATGAGCTGGCATCGGGGCCATGCTGGAATCGAGACTGTCCAGGTCAGCACCTGTTCCTGTGTGACACGTGCTCTCTGCCATGTGGGAATCACCCGCCAGGGGAGCATGCTGGGCAGGAAGGCAGCAGAGCGGAAGCACAAGAAGCAGCGCCCGGGGCTGCGGCAGGGGCAGCAGCAGGGGCAGCGGCAGCGGAATATCACCTAGATGCATGCTATGCGCGGGTGCAGTCAGGGAAGCGTTTGCTACGGAGGGGCGTGAAGGAGCAGTCGAAGAGTCTAAGACTGTTGGAGACAGGCGAGCCGCTGTGCATCCCTGTGACTCAGGACGGGCCGCTAATGACCGAGTCGAGTGTGCGGGAGAGCGAAGAGCTTATAATGCGTACAAAGAGGTGAGTGGGTGGGAGAAGCTAGTAACGCGTATGAATGGACTCAGGATGGGCTGCTAATGACCGAGTCGAGTGTGCGGGAGAACGAAGAGCTTATAATGCGTACAAAGAGGTGAGTGGGTGGGAGAAGCTAGTAACGCGTATGAATGGACTCAGGATGGGCTGCTAATGACCGAGTCGAGTGTGCGGGAGAGCGAAGAGCTTATAATGCGTACAAAGAGGTGAGTGGGTGGGAGAAGCTAGTAACGCGTATGAATGGACTCAGGATGGGCTGCTGATGACCGAGTCGAGTGTGTGGGAGAGCAGGGAGAGAAGGGAGAGCAAGGAGCTTATCATGCGCACCAAGCGATGAGTGGGAGGAGGTCAGCACGTGAGTGATGCGCGTTGGTTCAAATCCTTCAACTTTCTGCTAGGGGAAATCTCATCCCAGCATTGCTGCACCCTATGTTAACCTTCCTCTTTGCGCGTTTTCCTGGCGTTGATGTGTGGTTGTGCCGTGTGCAGCTTTGGGACTGGTCACAAGCAGCTCTTTTCAGACATGCAATCCTTCAAGGTGAGCAGCAGCGCAGTGTGGCAGCTATGCATTCTAGGTGAATCGTGCAAACCAGTGAACCATGATGCACGGTGGACGCATGCAAGCCCCCACAAGCGTCTTTCACACTGTATCATGTCACCGCTTATGCCGTGCCTGCCTTCTCACATCCCGTGCCTCCTCCTCCTCTCCCTCCCTCTCGTTCATCCAACCCGTTGCCCCCACAGGCGGCCAACCCAGGATGTGTCTTGGAGGACTTTGTTCGCTGGTACTCGCCACCCGACTGGTCGCCGCTCCCCCAGTCGCCCTCCGTCCCCTCATGCTGTGTCTCCTCTTTCTCTCCCTCCCGCCCTCGATGCATGCACCATTTTTCCCCCACAGGCGGCCAACCCAGGGTGTGTTTTGGAGGACTTTGTTCGCTGGTACTCGCCTCCTGACTGGTCGCCACTCCCTCAGTCGCCCTCCGTCCACTCGCCCTCCGTTCACTCGCCCTCTCCCCATGCACCATCCGCTAAACCTCATCCTGTACAAACACCCGCTCTACACTCCCCCTCGCCCTCCTCCTCCACTGGTGAACTTCCAGACGCAAAAACTCCATGTCCCGCGACTCACGGCCGAGAGAGGGAGGGCCAGGCTGCTAGGGGTGCTGTGGGGGGAATAATTGACTGTACACCCAAAAAGACAGGGTACCTCAGTGTGCGGATGAAGGCTTCTGGTCAGTAAATCATCCCTAGTTATCACTGCTCCACTCTTTCCTTTTTGACAGTAGCAGTTTTGTCTTTTTTGTCACAATGTTGTATTCTCACGAGCTTTCCTCTCATGTGCCTGACAGATAACCTGTGGCAGCAGCTGTGGAACCGCGCTCGACCGCTGCCCATCGCTCTCCAGCCCCCCTTGGTGGACTACGATTATGCTGCGTAAGCTGCCCTGCTCCCTCCCTTTACACAGCGCTCTTATCATTCCTGCCTCTGATATTTCAGCTGTTTATCGTTTCCTTCCTCTCCAATCCCTCCTTCCTTCCTCTTCCCTCGTCCCCTGCCTCAGCTTTTTGAACTGTGTTCCCTTTCCTCTCCCCTCCTCCCCTCCTCCCCCCCTCCACTCCTCCAGGGAAAAGAGCCTCACCTGGCTGGAGAGCATTCCCCCATCCCACCTCTTTGCAGAGCTCTTCACCGTGCTCGTTGCTGTTGGCTTCTCTGCCGCTGCCTCCGCATATCACACTCCCCCAATTTCCTCCTCGTCTTCTCTCCCTTCAAGAAGAGTAGATGGCTGGGTGCGTGTTACTGGTTCAAATGCCGCAGCAACAGCATTGGGGCAGGAGGGGGAGGAAGAGGAGGAGCAGGAGTGGGAGGGGGAGGAGGAGGAAGAGGAGGCATGTGTGCAAGCAGCAGCGGATGGGCACATCAGAGCACGTGTGGCAGAGTGCTGTCGTTACGTGGCTGGGGCATGCACGAGGGGAATGAGCGAAGACAAGATGACAAACGTGTGCCTTGTGAGTCCATTTTGCAGGCGTTTGTTTGTTTGTTTGTTTGTTTTTTTTTTTTTGGAGAATGAGCGCGATTACATGATGAATAATGTGTGCGAGTTGTTTCTTAGCGGGATTGCTCGCGCTGTCTGCCTGACTGTCTCTTGGGGTCACAGGCTTAGTCTAACCTTGAACTTTGCACTTCCTCTATCTTCCTTTTCCCCGTTTCCCAACCCCCACACACCCCCTTTGGCTCCCTCTCGCAGGTATACGAGATGATGGAGGACATAGTGGTGGGGCCACAAGCCAAGGCGCAGCTTCCCAGGGCCAACACATCAGCCTCTCAGGACGCCCAACCCGTGTCAACACTCAAGCCCTCGCTCCTGCAGCAGTGGCAGCAATGGCACTCCAAACCCTCCGCCAAACCTCACGACAACCACCACCTCTACCCCAACGACGCTCACGCAATCGAATCTCTCCCAGAGAACGCCCTTCTGAGCAACCCTCACCCAAACGACCCTCAACCCTCCGACGCTCATCGGAATGGCAAGGAGGATGACCCACACACATGTTCCGATTCAGAACCATACGACACTCGGAGCCTCTCAGATGCTTCATGCGGCACAGGCGGTTTCTCCCCTGAGCCCAGCACGTCTCCTCGCATCCACCCCCCCGCCAATACGCCTGCTCGCCGGTTCTCCCTCCTGGGAGCTGGATCGAGCTTCCCTTCTTTCCCCACTGCGAGTTTCCCTACAAGCCCCATGTTTGGGTCAATTGACCTCTCGTCCCTGCATCAGCACCACCACCAGCAACCACTCCAGCAGCAGCAGCAGCAGGAGCAGGTGCTAGAAGAGGGTTCGGCTGGTCAAAAGGGTGCTGCAGAGCCTGCAAACGCTCAGCTTTCTGCCTCGTCGAGTTTCGTTAACCGGGTGGCAATGTGGGCTGGGCTTGGCGCTGCAGGGAGTGGGAGAGGGCTGGTGGGGGAGCAGGCGAGCACACAGGAGCAGCAGGAGGTGCAGGAGCAGGTGCAGGATCAGCAGCAAGAAGAGGAGTCCCTGGTTATCACTGTTTCTGCAAATGGTGGACTTGATGCTGCCGCTGCTGCTGCTGCTGCGGCCGCTGCCGCCGATGCTGACGCTGCTGCCGCCGATGCTGACGCTGCTGACGCCGATGCTGACGCTGCTGACGCCGATGCTGACGCCGCTGCCACTGCTGTCACTGCCATGTCTGCAAATGGTGCTGCTGCTGATGAGTCGTGCTCGGCTGTTATTAAAGAGACAATGAGGGGAAACAATAAGGGTGGCGCTGTCAAAGAGGAGCAGACTGATGATGCTGATGAAGAGAGTGTTAAGTCCAACAGACCCATGACTGCCCCTGGTGCGGTGAGCTTCAGAGGGTTTCGGAAGGTTGACATGACAAGCATCAGCAGCTTCAGCAGTATCAGTATCAGTAGTATGAGCAGCAGGAGTAACATGAGCAACAGCAGCAGCATTGGCAGCAGCAAAAAGGAGGAGCAGGAGCAAGGGGAGAGGAAGAAGGCAGGGATCCTAGGCCTACGGTACGGTTGGGTTGTTGTGTGATAACAAAGCTGCCACGTTTTCCAAATGTGCTTTCTGTGTGTTCACAAGAAATGCTCTGTTTGAAGGCGGCGTTGCTTGCAAGGAATTTGCGGCCACATGGTAGCATAACAGTGGCATATACGATGTGTAACAGCTTCTATAAGTGTTCACTATAGTCAATTTGCTTGGTGACCGTAACCCCCCACATAAAGGACCTGGGCCGGGTGATTTTTTCTTAGACCCCTGAACATTTAGTGTACACATAAATTATACTATTGTCTGTACACTGCCACTGATGCAGCACGTCAAAAACATACTTTCGAGAGTGTCGCGTCAAATCGGAGATCTGACGCGCTGGACTTTCGAGGTTGACACCAAACCCACGTCAGCAAACAAATTCCGGCCCTCTACAACTGACGCGGATACGCGAAAGTAAAAAATACGATAAACAGCAAAAGGGGGTCCTTCAAATATATCTCTACCAAAAGGGGGTCCCCCCATATATTTATACCAAACATTATAAATCCCTCTCAGAAGTACAGTGATTAGTTTGCCTTATTGATCATGATTGTTAAATGACAAAACAGCAGTTATCTATCAAATCTTATGGTACACATTTACCCTTCTTGTGGCCAAGAGAGACAATTCAAAGTATTTCAGCTTGGGTTATCCCATCCCATTCAGTCTCCATATCCTCACATCTTAGCTATCAGATTTAGTGTACTTAGCACGTCACTCATCTCTGGTCGAGGCTCCGTGTTCACATTTATGCACGCGCGGGCAAGCGCGAAAAACTTTCTCCCGCCCTTGTCAGAATACCCGTCTTTTATTCTAGCGTCAACTATGGATGGGGTGTAGACTTTTGACTCCTCCCACACCCATTGTGCCAAGCTGCCGCTGTCGCTGTCTGTGGCATGCCGGCCGGTTAGAAGCTCCAACAACACCACTCCAAACGCATAGACATCCGATTTTACTGTCAGGCGACCTGAGGGGAAGTGGAGAGGGTAGTTTACAGGGTTCAAGTCCAGCGAGGGAGAGGGAGAGGAGAGAGAGGAGAGAGTGGAAGAGGGAACAGAGGGGATGAGCAGGAGGGAGAGACAGTGGGGAAGGGAAAGACGGTGCAGACTTTTGATTCCTCTCACACCCACTGCGCCAAGCTGCCACTGTCGCTGTCTGCCGCATGCCGGCCCATCAGCAGCTCCAGCAACACTACTCCAAACGCATAGACATCAGACTTCACCGTGAGACGACCTGGAAAGGGAAATGAGGGGAGAGAGCTGAAGGGATGGCGGTTATAAGGATCCCACTATCACTGTGAGCAGCAGCTCTAGCAGCACCACTCCAAATGCATACACGTCAGACTTCACCGCCAGACGACCTGAGGGGAAGAGTGGGGGGCGGGCGGGAGGGAGGTTGGTTCTGCTGTCATGGTCAGCAGCAGTTCTAGCAACACCACTCCAAACGCATACACGTCCGATTTCACCGTAAGCTGGCCTGAGGGGAAGGGGAGAAGGGAGGGAAGGGGGGGAGGGTTGGGAAGGGCCGCACAATCACTGTAAGCAGAAGCTCTAGCAGCACACCACTCCAAATGCATACACGCCCGATTTCACCGTAAGCTGACCTGAGGAGAGGGAGGAGGGGAAAGAGGTTTACAGAGGTCGAGTGCGGTGGGGGAGGAGAGGGGAGAGCAATATGTTGCAGGGGAGAGCAAAAGGGGATGCTAATTTTGCCAGGCGAGAATATGTTGCAGCAACATATACACTCACCTCTCTCCATGTAGGCAGGGTCGATGTACCCCGGTGTGCCCTTCACTTTGGTCTCCACGTAGCTCTGATCCCCCACCGGGCCCACCTTGGCCAGCCCAAAGTCGCTCACTTTTGCAACCAAGTTCTAAGGGAGAGGGAAAGAGGGAATGAGGGAGAGGGGGAGGGAAAGAGGGAAAGAGGGAGAGGGGGAGCAAAAAGAAGGGAGATACTATTCCATCAACTCACAACCAGCCATTTACGACTATGACGCACCATTGGCCCACCTTGGCCAGCCAGACCAAAGCGAATCCCTCTGGAGGCCAGTTGCTGAACGAGGGGAGGAGAAAGGAAGGGAGTGAGTGCATGAGCAAAAAAAAAAAAAGCCGGGCCTTGAACAAAACTGTATCATACTTATGAGCGTATCACACATGGCTGCATGCATGGTTAAATATATGTACATACATGAATAGTTATATCCAGTGCGCTACACACTACAGCCATGAGACTAGGCGAGCTGCAGCTTATGATAATTCTTTAGCAGTTATATATGGTGTGCTACACACTACTCACATCGTCAAGCAGGAAATTCGAGGACTTGATGTTGGACGATTGAAATCGCGGTGAATAATGTTCCTCTCATGCAGATGGTGCAACCCTGTTGCCGCCCCCCACCTCCCAGCCCTCCCCCCCACCCCCTCTCCTTGCGTGTTTGACAGCATGTATGACACGCGAATCACTCACATCGTCAAGCAGGATATTGGAGGACATGAAATCGCGGTGAATAATGTTCCTCTCGTGCAGATGGTGCAACCCCGTTGCCGCCCCCACGGCTATCTGCACCCGCTGCTGCCACGACAACGGAATCACATTGTCGGCGGCTGGACACATGGGAGAACGGACGGGGACGGGGAGGGGGAGGAGGGTTATAACAGCCATCCTGCACCAACTGCCGTCTGCACTCGCTGCAGGTGTTCCTCTCGTGCAGATGGTGCAGCCCCGTTGCCGCCCCCATGGCTATCTGCACCCGCTGCTGCCATGACAGGGGAATTGCATTGTCGGCAGCTGCGGTGAACACAGGAAAGCGATTCCGGAGAGGAGGGGGTGGGGGTGGGGGGGGGAGAAGGAGGGTTATAACAGCCGCAGTGCCCCCACGGCTATCTGCACCCGCTGCTGCCACGACAGAGGGATCACATTGTCGGCCGCTGTGGTGAATAAACGAGAAGAAAACGGGTGGGGAGGTAAAGGCGGAGGAGGGTTATAACAGCCGCCCTGCCCCAGCTGCTATCTGCACTCTCTGCTGCCAGGACAGGGGGATAACATTGTCTGCAGATGTTCTTCAGGAGAATCAGCAAGTGAAGGGCGGGGAGTGGACGGAGGAGAAGAGAATCAGTAGGAGAAGGGCAATAACCACCCTTGCACCCACTGCTATCTGCACGAGCGGCTGCCACGAGAGCAGAATCACATTGTCGGCTGCTGTGGTGAATACAGAAAAGCGGGTTGGGAGGGAGGGGTTGGAGGGGAGCAAAGGTAATCAGAAGAAGGGAGGGGCTGGGTGGCCGGCTCACATGTGACCCATGGCGACACATAAGTGACGCATGTGGCCGGCTCACATCAAGAATCCGCTTCATTGGATTATTGGACAACAAAGCGGTAACCAGACAGACCCACTCACTGGAGAAAAGGTGGCCGTTGAGGGCTCCATTGGAGAAGTATTGAGGGGCGAGGAAGGGCATCTCACCATGAGCGCAGACACACATCCAATATACTCACAGGTGAGGTGACCCACTCGACACCCACTTGAGAGCGCACACACGCATCCAACCAATATACTCACAGGTGAGGTGAGGTGACCCACTCGATGGAGAGGAGGTGGCAGTTGAGGGCTGCCTTAGACATGAGCGCCGTGTCGACATGAGATGGTGAGGAGACGTATTCATAAACGAGAAATATAATTTCGCCATGAGCGCGCACACACGCACGCACAGAGGGTTGATGGCATGGCAGACTCACAGGTAAGGCAGTAGGGGGAGGGGGAGGGGGGAAACGGAAGGACTCACTGGAATTGGTGGTAGTTGAGTGCACCGTTGGGACACGCATTCATAGACGAAGAACGCCATCTCGCCATGAGCGCGCACACACAGAGGGCCTTTGGCCGAATCACAGACTCAGAGGTAACCCACTCACTGAAAAAGAGATGGTAGGGTTCTGGAAACCTACTCACTGGAGAAGAGGTGGTAGTTGAGAGCGCGGATGGAGACGTATTCATAGATAAGGAATGCCATCTCGCCGTGAGCACACAGACAGGGTCCTTAGCCAACTCACAGACTCTTAGGTAAGCCATTCATTGGAAAACAGATGATAGTTGAATTGTAAGCGCGATTGGAGACGTATTCATACACGAGGAATGCCATCTCGCCACAGTACCCCCCCTCCGCCCCCAGACTGGCCAGGTTGGGGTGGGAGAGGGAGGGACCCACAAGCTTACTACAAACCATCTGCTTGTGACGCACTTACTCGAAACAGATGGTAGTTGAGGGCGCGATTGGAGACGTATTCATAGATGAGCAATGCCATCTCGCCGTGCGCATACACATCCCATACCCAGAGAGTCTTTAACCGACTCACAGGAAGGGCGGTATGTAGAAAGGGAACGGAGGGACTTACTCGAAAACAGATGGTAGTTGAGGGCGCGATTGGAGACGTATTCATAGATGAGGAACGCCATCTCGCCGTGAGCGCACACACACAGACAGGGTCTTTGGCCGACTCACAGATAGAGCAGTAGGATGGGGGAAAAGGGGGAGGGGAGGGGGGGGTGGGGTGGGGGTGTGTGGGAACGGAGGGACTCACTGGATAACAGGTGGTAGTTGAGCGCGCGGTTGGAGACGTTTCCATCAACGAGGAATGCCATCTCGCCGTGAGCGCACACACTGGCTCTTTGGCCGACTCGTAGGTAGAGCAATAGGGTGGGCGAAGAGGGTAGGGAGGGGCGGAACGGAGGGACTCACTGGAGAAGAGGTGGTAGTTGAGGGCGCGATTGGAGACGTATTAATAGATGAGGAATGCCATCTCGCCATGAGCACAGTAGCCACGCAGGCTGACCAGGTTGGGGTGGGACAGACGCTCCAGCATCAGCACCTCCGTCTGAGCAAGGACAGAGGGGAAGGGAGAGAGCAAATGCTGTCTATCATCCACCTGCCCGGGAGGAAGTGGCAGGCTGACGAGGTTGGGGTGGGAGAGGCGCTCCAGCATCAGCACCTCCGTCTGAGACAGGAAAGGGAGCAGTGGGAGGGGGTTTCAGGAGTTCAGGGTACAGGGAAGGGACAAGCCCATCTCGTTGTGAGCGCAGTGCAGTAGCCACGCAGACCGACCGGTTGGGGTGGGAGAGGCGCTCCAACATCAGCACCTCCGTCTGGGAAACACAAAGATAGAATGGACAGCGGGAATGGGAGGGGTAAAGGGTAAGGGTTTTAAGTTAAAATGGAATGGAAGGATGCAGGGGTTGGGGTGCAGGGAGGGAAGGGACAAGCCCATCTCGCCGTGAGCGCAGTAGCCCCGCAGGCTGACCAGGTTGGGGTGAGAGAGACGCTCCAGCATCAGCACCTCCGTCTGTGATAAGGGAAGAAGGGAGGAGTAAGGGGGTATGGAAGCGGGGGAAGTGGTGTGGTGAGAGGGGAAGGCCATCTCGCCGTGACCGCAGTAGCCGCGCTGGCTGACGAGGTTGGGGTGGGAGAGGCGCTCCAGCATCAGCACCTCCGTCTGTTATTAGAAGGTGGAGGGTTTGAAAAGGGAAGGATGAAAGGGAGGAATCGGGCCGGGGTTAGGAGGATGAGACAAGCCCATCTCGCCGTGAGCGCAGTAGCCGCGCAGGCTGACCAAGTTGGGATGGGAAAGGCGCTCCAGCATCAGCACCTCCGTCTGAGACAGGAAAGAGGTGGGGAGGGGAGAGACAGGGGAAGAAGAAGAATGGGAGCCGAGGGGGTTGATGGGGGGCTGGAAGGCAGAATGACGAGGTTGGGGTGGGAGAGGTGCTCCAGCATCAGCACCTCCGTCTGGAAAGGGAAAGGGAGCGGTGGGATGGGATGGGAGGGGGTTTCAGGAGTTTGGGGTACAGCGGCAGGACAAGCCCATCTCGCTGTGAGCCGAGGTTTGAGTCGACTCAAAAATAATCTCAGGGACGGGACAAGCCCATCTCGCCGTGAGCGCAGTACCCGCGCAGGCTGACCAAGTTGGGGTGGGAGAGTCGCTCCAGCATCAGCACCTCCGTCTGAGAAAAGGAAAAGGGTGGGTGGGGAGGGGAGAGACAGGGGAAGAAGAAGGGGAGCCGAGGGGTTTCATGGGGGGCTTAAATGGCAGACTGACGAGGTTGGGGTGGGAAAGGCGCTCCAGCATCAGCACCTCCGTCTGAAAACCAGGATTTAGGGTTTGCCAGGAAGGGGGAAAGAGGGAAGTGGAGGGGGGGGAGGGGAGGCGGTGGGGGGTGGAGGTCGGGAGAGGGAGGGACGGGGTTAGGGAGGACAGGACAAGCCCATCTCTCTGTGAGCGCAGTACCCACGCAGGTTGACCAAGTTGGGGTGCGAAAGGCGCTCCAGCATCAGCACCTCCGTGTGAGAAAGGAAAGGAGGGAGAAGGGGGAGGGGTGTTGGGAAAGGGCGATGTCAGAATGACACGACTGGAACAGGGAGACTTTTGAGTCGAGTCAAAAGTGCTGGGGAGAGGAGAAGGGCTGGAGAGGAGATGGCAGACTGACGAAGTTGGAACAAGGAGGGTGCGGGGTTGGTTGGGTTGGGGTAGACGGAAAAAGCATATGCAAATTGCCAACCGCGGAAATAGAAATCAAAGGAAACTGAAAAGTTGGAGTCGCAAACGCGGAGACTTGGTATGGGAGGGGAGGGGAGAGCGGAGGGGAGATGGGGGAGTGAGGGGAGGAAGGGGATAGAGGGGAGGAAGAGGAGAGAGGGGAGTGGGAGGGAGCAGGGAGGGTGGGGTTGGGCTGCTGGGTAAAGGAGTGAGGAGGGAGAAAAGGGGGAGGGGGGCCGGGGGAAGGAAGCGTGGGAGGCAATTGGTATGTATACATATACATACTACCATACATTCTCGACTTGGTATGTATATATATACTTACCGGCTAGAGAAATAACAGTTCTGAAAACTTTTACTCACCACCCATTCCCGATAACCGCTCGTCTTTCCGGAGCTATTCAGCACTTTAATCGCCACTGCCTGTCCCGCAACCGCAACCGCCGCCGCCGCACCCTCCCCCTTCCCCTCTCCGCCCTCCCCATTCTCCTCCCCCTTGCCTCCGCCAATCACGGCCTTGTAGACCTTCCCGAACCCCCCCTCGCCCAGCACCGCTGATTGGTCGAAGCTGTTAGTTGCTGCTAATAGCACCTCGTACTTAAACTCCTGTGGTAGTGACACGTGGAGCGTGGCTTCTAAGGGAACGCGAAGGGGAGGGGGAGATGGGATGGGAGGGAAAGAGAGGGTGAGAAGACACGTGCTAGCAGCTCAGCACCTCGTACTTAAACTCCTGTGGTAGTGACACGTGGAGTGTGGCTTCTGTGGTAGCGACACGTGGAACCAGGAGGGGGGAGGAGAGAGGAGGGAGTGGGGACGGAAGAGGAAAGAGGGGAAGGGGCGAGGATGAAGGGAAGGGGCTATTGAGGGAACAAGGGGGCCGGGGAGGTAAGGGTGGAAGCGTGGGGAGAGGAGGAATCACAAAAGCAACTCCGATACTGCTGTGCATGGATAGGTAGGGTGAGCTGGGTGTGAGGAGGAGGCAAGGGGAGGAGGCAACGGGAGGGGAGGGGGGGGAATGGATGCAACGATGACAGCTGTCATGATGTGTGAAAAGCAGGGCGAGAGACAGAAGATTCAAAGGAAAGCGAGAATGGCAAGCCTCTCAAAAGGCGCCTTTTTCACCACGTTTAAACTGCTAATGCATATAGAAGCGCATAAACGTCATGTAGACGCGCGTAAACGTCATGTAGACGCGCATAAACGTCATATAGAAGCGCAGAAACGTGATGTAGACGCGCATAAACGCCATGCTGAAGCGCACAGGTTCACAAACCCAGCTAGTTCCACAGTGCGTCCTTGAGACGTCTTATAAGTACGCTCTCCCATTTCGAGTAACAGATGCGCACTTGCTCAGACACCAACCAGCTATCACTTACGAGGTGCTTTCTTCTCCTCTTGCGAGCCGCCGTTGCACATAGACGCGCACAGGCCCATGCGCCCAGCGATGGAGCTTCGCAATAAAAAATAGTTCTTTCTTTAGCCGACTCAAGAACGGCGCCACCTCTGCTGCTCTGCTACCGCTGTCTCCCCCAGCTCTTTATTCTCCTCGTCGAGCGGGTTACTACGAAGCCAACCTAACCTCTTATTCTAACCCTACCTAGCTCCAACCCTAGCTCCAACCCTAGTTCTAGCCTTACTACCTCTTTCACCCCAGCACGAAGCTCAGTACGCTGCTCCGCAAATCCTCCCACCCGTGCAGCTGGGATAGAAACCCCTCCTTTTGAAACATTGCTACGTGGCTAGCCCCGACCTAAGCTATTTCGACACAATCGCAACGACGTCGCAAAGGCGTCTCACAGACGTCCCGGAGCCAAAGCTTGAAACGTTTTACGCGAATGTTACGGAAACAGACGGAACCGTTGAGATTACACGCTGAAAGGTGAGCAATACAGTCATACGATGTGTCTGCGACGCGTGTCAGATAATTCTTGAGTTGCGTAATTCAGTAGTAAAAAGTGTCTGCGAGATGTGTGCTTGCGAGGTGTGTCTGAAAGATCTCAAGGGATTACTGCTGCTACTACACGTCTTTAAAAGCTGGTAAGCTGGTGCGGTGCAGACGCATTTAACACTTCCGAAACAACTTATTAGAAGCGCCTCTGTTACGACCTGACAAATAGGTAAGCAGGTTCGACGCTCGACCGGGCTATGGCAATTGGTCAATCAGAACAGCGATTGGTGGATCAAGACGTAAGAAATTTAGAACAGCAATTAAGAGCTGAGGGTCAGAAGTAAGAAAAATGGCTAGCGAAAAGCAGTGTGCGAGACGTACTGGCCGCGCCTAACAACACCAACTCTTCAGTAGGTTCTAAACCTATCTTGTTAGTAGTGACACGGCCAAGATGTGGATCTACTAGAAGAATCGCCCCTGGTCGGTTGGCGATAACAAGACCTGGTCCGATTTACAGCAGTTGTACGTGTAGTACCCTCTTTTTGTGTACGAATCGAGGGTACAGTCCACATCTCTCTAGGCTGGGCAAAGGACCCCACGCGGCCCCCTGAACAGGGTGATGTTGAACTGTGGCCGGATGGTTTTTTTTCACAAACCCTGCATTGAAATCTATGGCAGAACTCCCACTGACTCAAAAGGCTGTCCTTGAGAAGCTGGGTTTCTGTTCAGTACTTCTCGAAAGGCTGTCCTTGTGTACTTATAGGCCAAATGACGCGGTTGTGTAACGGCTGAAAACGAGAAACACTGTGGGACCAGGCTGGTTTGACGAACTCTGCCAGAAGAGGAGTGATAGAACAAACAACAGTGGGAATAGAGCAGGGACACCACCTGAAGAGTGGGAATAGTCTGTCGGCCACGGGCGGGCTATAGTACGAAGAGCTGAATCCAGACACTGTAGAGAGCCAAACGAAAACGTCTGGAACAGAACGGAAGGATAGGATGCTGCCGGGTTGTCTCAGAAGACATCCATATTTTTCGGGCTGGAAAAGTTGCGACCTACGGGCACCACCTGCAAACAAGGTTGTGTCGGTGCGTCTCGCTTTCATCCGATCAACGTACTGTATGCCACTACATTGATACCAACATCTCTGGAAAAAAAAACAAAATTTTAGGAAAGTTATAAATGTGCTCCTTTAAGACGCCATATAAACATTATGTAAAAAACATCCGACGCACATTCCGTGGTGACACACCCCAGGGCTGTCTGAATCTATATAAGCACATTGAGTGCATTGTGTTGTGTGCCTACCCTACAATTCAACCCCTGTCTAAAGCCATGACCACAATGCTTCGTGCGGAAGGTCTGTCACTCCTCCGATGCTTGTTTTGCTTCGGTTGGGAAGTTGGAGCACCACATCTGGGAGGGAATGGTGCGGCTCGGGGCAATCGGTTGTTGCTGAAGCATGCATCACGTGGTTGGAGATAGGTTGGGGACAGTTGAGGTCCGTTGGAGATTGTGAGGGGATGAGACACACACAACACATGTTGGAAAGCAGATTAGGAAGCACGGAGGAAGGGGGGGAGAGGGGGGGGAGGGGAGGGGTGTTGGGGGCATGGCTCAAAGCGAACGGTTTATTCTGAGATGCACGGCATAGAATTGGGGCATCAGGATATTAAGGGGCTTTTGGAGACTGGCGAGGAGGGGCAGAAGGAGAGTGGGAAAGGAAAGCACAAGAAGCTGATCCGAGGGCATGGAGCGAGGGAGTGAGGGAAGAAGAGATGAAGGTCGGACGGGAGGTATGGAGTAAGGGAGAAAATAGGGACGGAAGGGGGAAGATAAAAAGTCTCGCAGGCTATTGGTGCATTTGAACGTTCTTGAAATGCGCCCACAGAAAGAAACCCGCACCTACAGACCATAAAAGCAATCCTCTGATATCACATTCATCATAGCGTAAAGGATATGTTCAGTATGTCCGAAAACACACAGACAGATTTAGGCACATCAAGGCTTCAGTACTGAAATATGCGAGCACGAGGATCAAGCTCATTGTGCTGGAGATTTTTTAACACCTTTTTCGAACTCTGACAACAAAGACACGGCCAAAATGCTTGAAAAATACATGGCTGGATGAAGGCACATGCAGCCTAAACCACGGCACGGCAGCATTAACATCAGGCCGTCGCTCTCTGGTGGGGCACTGCTTAACCGAGATCAACGACGTGACATTACCACCTCGTGATTAAGTTACAAGCTAATTCGTTAACGTCGCGTCGAACGCGTCGCACGCGTCGCACCTGTCGCGCGTGTCGCACGTATCGCACGTGTCGTCCGTGACGCGGCGAAACAAAAACAAACGGATCCATCCATTCACGATAGCGACCGACTGACCTCAAGCCGTGCTGACGTCAGGGCGATCGGAACGCAGACGGCAAAGATGCCGGCCAAGGCGAACGCGGTGTTGCGACGCCAGTATTTCGGGTCGCAATACCACCCGCCGGTTAACGCCCAGACGTTAGGGTAACCGCCAGCAGCACCGCCGCCTCCTCCCATGCTGTGCGAATTTTACGAGTGTTAGCGAAAACAGGCGAACGGAACGGTGGATGGGAAGGGCGGCTGGATCAGTGGTGGCGGCGAAGAGGATGACGAGAGATGCGGCGGGAATGACTACTAGAGGCAGGAGCGGGACTGCTGGGTAAGGCAGAAGTGATAGAGACGCGATACAAGCTGGAAGTAGCAGACTTAAACCGAATTGCACCAAACCTCTTCCCAATTCTACAAAAAGAACACAAATATATATATATATATATATGTATATATCCCAATATGTTATGAACATACACATGTAATGCTTATTATCATGAACTCACTCTATACTGGCTGGTACGAAGCCATATCGGTGAAAGTCTTACGACCATCACCATTATTGCCTACTATTTCAGTCATGATCCCACAACACTGGGTTATCTTCTTTCTGGTATTCAACAAAAACCCTTGTTCAACCACCTCCTTTTGCCTCCCCTTCTGAAACCTCCCCATCGTCTTCCTCACCCCCTTCTGTACAAAGGCTAATGTCACCCACATTCAATCTTTCCTCCTCTCCTCCTTCCACTAATATTTCTTCTTCCTTATCTCCCAGAGCCTCCCCTACACCTTCCTCATCCACGGGCCCCTCTTTCTTCTCCTCAGTCGTCCCCTCCCCACCTCCACCCCCTCCTCCCCCCCACACCATCCCCCATGCCACATCCGCCAACCCTTCAAACCCAGCCCACCCCGCCTCTCCTGTCTCCTCCTTCCCCTCCTTCCCTTCCTTTCCCCCTTCCGCACCCTCTCCGGCACCCCACCACCCCGTTCCCAACCCCCAACCCGCACCCCCACCACCAAACAAACCAAGCCCAGCAAGCCCACCAGTCCCACCAGTCCCACCTGCCCCACTCCCACCTCCCCCTGCTGCGCCCTCCATCAGCTTCTCCAGCCCAATAGGTGGTATCGGGGGGGAGTACCTAGGGAGGCTGAGCTTGGCTTGCTTTGCTCTGCCATCCATAATAGGCTTGGGGGTGGAAGGGGGCCGCCAGAAATCTCTCGACGCGGAATAGACTGCCACGGCTGCTCGGATTGACTCTCCGGGGGACACTGGCGCTGTTACTCCTGCTGATGCAGCTGACAAAAGGGAGCTCTCGCTTTTCACTCGCACACTCCTCCTCCCTTGTCGCTTCTCATCACACTCCTCAATGCTCCCCCTTCCTCTCCTCAATAATCTCACTCCATGGCTCGTTTTCCCCGTCGTCTTCCCCATCCTTTCCCCTTTCCTTTCGACCAGCCATGCCCTGCAGGAGGGCGGACTCCTGGCGGTGCTCCAGCAGGGCGCTCTCATGGAAGGAGAGAAGCGAGCGGGAGATGCGCAGCGAGCGAGGGAGCGACCGCTTGGTCCAGTGAGGCAGGCTGGGCACAAAGAGGCCCGTGGGGGTTGAAAGTGAAGGGGAGGAGGCGTGAGATAGGGGGATTCCAGATGAGACACCCATGCTCTCATGCCACCGCCTCAACCGTGACTCAAGCGACTCCTGCCCCTCCTTCCCTCGCTCCGCTTCCTCTGCTTCTTTTTCTGCCGCTGCTGCTTCTTCCTCCACTCCTGCACCTGCTGCTGCGGCTGCTGCTGATTCTCCCACGGCTTTTGATTGGACAGGGCGGGATGGCAGTGGGGATGGAAGGCCCTCGAAATCAGGGCAGCTGGGGGTACGTCGGTGGGACCTTTTAGACACACCCAGACGTGGTGCTGCTGCTCTCGTTGGCAAGTGGGGGACAACGGAAGGGGTTGTTCCGCCTGCTGCTCCTCCTGCTGCTCCTCCTTCTCCTGTTCCTGCTGCTGCTCCTGCTAATGCTCCTGCTTCAGCTGCTGCCCCTTCTGCTGCTGAGCCTGCTCCTCCTCCTCCTCCTGCTGCTGCTGCTGCTCTTGATGCTGCTCCTGCTGCAACTGAAGAGCATTCAATGGTTTCTGCCGAGTAAGAACCAGACTTGACTGCTGTACGTGGATCAGCCCTGCACGCGTCATACCTAATTCTCTCTGGCGTTACACACCGTCGAGGCAGCCCCACGCCACCGAGGTGGGAGGAGAGGACGATGGGCACTGGAGACACGTCACATACACTCAAGATGCGCTCACACACCAGCCGCGCACTGCCCCCGCTGCACCCGCTGCCCACGCTGCCCCCGCTGCCCATGCTGTCGCTGCGCTGCAGGGTTCGTCCAAAGGAGGCGCGGCCAAATACGAGTTCGAATGGGCACTCGGAGGCACTCCGGCGGTGCAGCGATCGCCTGCCACCCGTGTTTGATCTCTCTGGCACTTGAGACGGAATGGTGGGATCGCTCATGCCCTGCATGCTCCTTTCCATGCTGCTGCTCCTGTGTGCTGCTCCTCTGCTACAGCCGCTCCCCATGCTGCCTTCCTCCTCCCTGCTGTTGTAGCAACCCCTGCTGCCGCTACAGCCGTCCATGGCAGGAAAGCCTGCACCCTTGGTGCTACAGCCGCCTCTGCCGCTACAGCCGTCCACGATGAAAATGTCTACGCTTGGGTTATCCAACAAGGGATCATCCTCATACACACACACAGATATGGTTTCGCTGCAGTCACCTTCGTTAGAAGCACTCCTGCCATCGTTCTGCTCGTTGTGAGAAGAACCAGAGGCAATAGCCGCATCAGCAGCAGCATCAACAGCAGAAGCAGCAGCAGCAGGAGACTCGTCCCACCAGTTGCGGCGCCTCTCAGGTGTTCCGTGGCGGGCAGGTGAGGCTGCACGGGCATGCAAGCAACGAGGGACCTTGGGGCTCTTGGGACTCTTGGGGCTCTTGGGAGGGAGCGGGGACACAGGCCTCTGCAGTTCTTGTAGCACTTCTGCTGCTGCTGCTGCTGCTGCTGCTGCTGCTGCTGCTGCTGCTGCTGCAGCAGCTCCTCCTCCTCTTCCTCCTTGCAGTTGTGCTGCTCCTCCCAGTGTTTCCTGTGGCTCCGGCAGCAGCTCCAGATTGTGTGAGAAGCTATGGGCCCGCCTGTGGCCATGTGCACGGGCACGTGAGTCACGAGGGACCCTGGGGCTCTTGGGACTCTTGGGAGGGAGCGGGGACACGGGCCTTGCATGAGCCTCTTGTCCTTCCCGTGACGCTGCTGCTGCTACTCGCTCTTCCGATTCCACCAACTCCTGTGATTCCTGTGACTCCTGTGAGTCCGGCAGCAGCAACTCCAGATTGTGTGAGAAACTATGGGCCCGCCTGTGGCCATGTGCACGGGCACGTGAGTCACGAGGGACCCTGGGGCTCTTGGGAGGGAGCGGGGACACGGGCCTTGCTTGACCCTCCTTTCCTTGCCGTGCCGCTGCCCCTGCTGCTCGCCGTGAGTCCTGTGATTCATTCTGCACTGCTGCTGCTTCTGCTGTTGCTCGCTGTGATTCCTGCGATTCCTGCAATTCCTGCGATTCCTGTGATTCCTGCGATTCCTGTAATTCCTCCAGCAGCAGCACTAGATTGTCTGAAGAGCCATACGTCCGCCCCTGGGCACGTGCACGGGCATAGGCCCGCCTCCCTGGCCCTGATCCTCCCTCTCCTCGTCTCCCTCCTCCGTCCCCTTCTGGAAGCCTCCTGCTCCTGCCTTCGGGAATGTGGGCGCTATTGCTGCTGCTGCTGCCGCCGCTGCTGCTGCTGCGGCTGCCGCTGCTGTTGCTGGTGCTGCTTCCGGGTTGGTGGCGACGGGGGGAAGAAGGGTAAACGGGAGTGGCATGCACGGGGATGCCATACGCGTCTGAGTGTAGAGGTGACGTCTGAGTCGATTGCGAAGCAGTGTGGGTGGGAACAGGGCAGACGGAAGAAGTGTGGATGGGAGCAGGGCAGGCGGGAGAAATGTGGACGGGGAGCGCATATGTGCGTGGCTGTGGTGGTGGAGAGGCATCGTGGGACAAGTACTGGGAAGAGGCAGGGTGTTTGAACGAAGTTTGAGGCGCCTCAAAAAGCTGTGGAGGTGGAGAGGCAGCGTGTGTCAAGTGCTCAAACGAGGCAGAGTGCATTGAGTGCTCAGAAGGAGCGGAGTGCACCGAGTGCTCACACGAAGTAGCAACAGCAGCAGAAGCACCAGCACCAGCACCAGCACCAGCACCAGCAGTGGCATCAGCATCAGCAGCAGGAGCAGCGCCAGCAGCATCAGCATCGGTGTCAGCGTCCGCAGGTAGGGAGGGGGAATCAGGAAAAGGTGAGACTTGGCTTGCTGATGCCACCTCAGATGCTCCCTGCAGGCTATTGTTGTTACGCGGGCTGCTGCTGCTCTGGCTCTGGCCTTTCCCCCGGCTCTTCCCGAACAGCTTCATCACTGCTTTCAGCATCCTGCTCTTGCCGCCGCTCCTCTCACCAACACTACCGCCGCCACTGCCGCCGTCGGTTTGCCCAATCGGGGACACCAGCCCTAGATCAGTGCGGGCCCTTGGGTTTTAAGTTTTTAAGTTTTAAGTTTTTTATAAGGTCGTGACCCAGACAATACAGAGGCAAAGAAGGAGTAACCCAAGCCAGAGGCCTACGCTAACACAGCGTTACTTTGCTGAACTAAGTTCACCTGCAAGAAAGTTCCTGCCCGCTCCATATTGTAAATAGAGTTATGTTCGTGCCTCTACGGGGGTTGGAAAGCACTGTTGAGAAGCCAGGAGGAGCGCAGCTCCTGGTGTAGTTGGGGGGACCCATCTGGGAGAAACTGAAGGAGTTTGTGCTTGATGGCAGCTTGGGATCGGTTGCGAGCGGTACGTTTCCGTTTGCTGGAGAGGTTCCCGTGGTGGAAGAAGTATGTTTTGCACGCTACTAGGAAAAGGGCCAGAATTCGGTGAAGCGTTGCCGTGCTTGAGTAAGATACATTGTCGTAGATCTGCGAGCAGCGATCTCTCCATAGCGTGGTTGCCGCGGCTCCAACCAGTAGACTCCACGGGGCCATTTCTCCGGCGGGCGTGTCAGTCGGGAAGAAAACTGCTTCTTGCGGGATTCTTAGGCGGAGGTGTTGGTTGGCAGCTCGTTGCAGCGCCGTGGTGACCGCCGGTGCGTTTCCACATTGGAAAAAGATGTGCGTATGAGACTCGATGACATTGGCACGACATCGTTGGCAGATGCCTTTAGACGAGGTATAGGGCATTCTGGCGCCGCAGGGCAGGGATCGGGTGTAGAGTCTGAAAAGAACGTCCCTTTGTCGACTTGTTTGGTCTCTGAGGAATGAGTGAGTCAGGTCTGGAAGAGATCGAATTGGAGCCTGTAGGGCCTCGTTCCACCTCTCGACGTGATCGAGAGTCTGTGGCGTGTAGAGGTGTTTCCGAATCGCTGCTAGAGTAGGCCGTTGTCGTAGTAGCTCGTGTCTAACCCCGAGAGCAGCTCCTGAGCAGAAGGGTCCCGCCAACCAACTCCCTATTACGCACACTGTGATTACGTCCGTAGCAGCCAAAGTGATGCAGCCGAAGGGAGTCTTGTTCACCTGTCGCCTCTGTGTAACTTCATAGCGGTCGAAAATTACGAGCCCGTTATCCAGCACCTTAGTCACACGTAGTATTTGTGACAGATTTGACGCCGGGGCAGCTTCAAAGGCCCAATCATCCTTTCTGAGGTAAACAGGTCGCGGGGTGAAGTTACATAGAACCTCCCACCATTCGTCTGGCACGGCGTTATAAATCTCCAGTAGGATGCACAATCCACACGGAAAGTCCTTGGGAGGGTATTGCGAGCGAAATTCGGCTGGCGTCAGTTTTCGTGACCCACCAGGCACTGGGGCCAGTAGTTTGCCAAGACGGATTTGCTTGGCAAGAAGGAAGAATTCTTCCTTAACCCTACCAAATGGTTTTTTATCCGGTTTTTGAATGAACCTGCTGAATGCAACCGGTTCCGCCATCAGTACCCAAGGTTCTAACCGTGGACCTGCCACCTTAGCCGGAGTGTCCAGAATGCTTTTCAATTCGGCCAAGGCTCTGGGAGGGGTGGATACTGGTAAGTGCTTGAATATGTCCGGATGTGCCAAGTAGCAGTGTAAGCCATATGGAAGGGGGACACATTCCCGGGCAGTGTCCTCGAAGGGAGTAGGGAGGAATCGCCGGGCTGCCCGTTGAATGTTAAGGGCTTTTAAGTGACTGGAGGGTTCTAGTGCCCCTACTCCACCATGCTTTTTTTTGTTGTAGAGAATTCGTTTGGGAATGTAGCGTTGCGCCTGTCCTTCTTCTTTGTACTTGGAGGAGGCAAGAAAGATCCCCACCACTCGGTCTATGGTGGAAGTGATGGCAGGAGGGGCGGGTTGAAAACGGCCACAGAACGCGTATAGTGAGGCCATACGTTCTGTCGCGAACATGCTTCGACAAGTTGTGGTGGCGTGGATTCGGGAGAGTGAGTCCGCAGAGGTACGTACCCTGGAGAGGATAAGTTCCCAAGAGGTTTGTCCAGGGTTATCTTGTTCGACATATACCCCCAAGATTCGTTCTGCTTCATTTGTTCTGCGAATGGGGATATTTCCACCGTTAGAGAGGGTACGGAAGTCGATGTTGAACGGAAGGATGGCACATTTGTTCCAGTTGGGGTATTCGCCGGAGCATTGCGCGAATGCCTCGAGACATGCTATTGCCGTTGGCAGCTCTGTGTCTGAGTTTAGGAAAATGGAGACGTCGTCTGCATAGCTTGCCATAAGCCGTCGTTGTAGAGGGGATATTGCAAAGCCGGGTAGGGCTGCGGCCAGGTGTCGTTGCAGAACCTCAATGGCACAGACAAACAGCAAGGGGGCAAGCGGGCATCCTTGTCTGACCCCGGTACGTACTTGAAAGCGAGGGCCGGTTGAGTTGTTGACCGATACATGTGTGTGGGTATTCGAGTGAAGCCGGCGTACCCAAGTAATGAATTCTGCGGGTATGCCAAGGTGGGAGAGGCATCGAAACAGGAATTCCCTATCTAGCATGTCATAGGCCTTTCGTATGTCAACCGTGAGGACAAGCAGTGGTAACTTTTGGTGTGCTGCCCAGTCTATAATATCCAATGTGTCGTTGATAGTATCCCCTATCCGACGTCCTTTGATGAATGCAGTTTGCGAATGGTGAATTATCCGTGGGAGGACAGTTTGGAGACGGTTAGCAAGGGTTATGGCAAGGATTTTATAATCGGTGTTCATGAGCGTGATTGGTCGAAGGTTTTCGACCAAGGCCGTATTGCCTTTCTTGGGGATTAAAATGGTGCGGCCTTCGCTCATGGAGGGAGGCATGGCGTTATGGTTGTGTATGCCGTCAAAGAGTTTGCGTAGGGCCGGGAGCAGGGCGGTCTTATGTGCACGGAATAAGTCGGCAGGCAAACCGTCGATTCCTGGCGTTTTTCCTTTAGCCAGAGCCCTGACTGCGCGCTCGATTTCTGAAGTACCGAGAGGTGCCGCGAGGTCAGCGCTTTGCATGGGTGAGAGAGATGAGGGGTATATGTGTTGCCAAAAGTCAGGGGCGGGGTTAGTGGGCGTGCTTCCACTGTTGAGATTGCAGAAGAAGGTAGTGCAGAGCTGGGTCATAGGAATAAGATCCTCAACCTTGTCTCCTGACGGAAGTTGGAGGTATGGGATCTGAGAGTCCTTAACTCTCTTATTGAGGCTGGCCATGAGGGACGCTACCCCCATTTCTCGGGGTCCCTCTACTTTCAGTTTGGATTTAAGGGCAATCTCAGCGGCACGGGCGCTGGTATAAGCGTGAAGTCGCTGGAGCTGCTGGTCGAGCCTGAGAGAGGCCTCATTAGAGCCAGGGAATTTAAGGAGGTGCATTTGCAATTGGCAGATATCATCTTGCATATGGGTGACCGTCTTGTTGACCCGGAGCCGTTCCTCCCTGGTGAATCGTTTGAGCTTTTGCGCCAGGGCCTGTTTGCATGTATCCCACTGAGAGGGCATGAGGGGGGAAGGTAGAGACGCCACAAAATCAGAGACCAGAGAGGTAAGGTGTGGCTTATGGATGAGCTGCTGCGGAAGTCGCCAAGGTCTATGGGTGGCGTTCGGATTGTGGAAGGAGAGCGAGAATAGGGGGCCACTTCTGTGATCAGAGAGAGTATGTTGAACAAAAGAGTATGACGCCGCCGTGACTCTCGTGGCGACTGAGTTCGAAACGTAAGAGCGATCCAGCCGCGCAGCCGACGGGGGGGGCGGCGGGGGCGGCGGTAATACGCCTTGCGACTGGGAAGGGGATGGGACGGTCAGGTGGGTAGAGGCTAAGGCGACCGGGGGACGGTCACGTGGGGCGGCAGACCGTACTGGGGCAATGAACGAGTAGGCTGGTGTTGTGGGGTGCAGTAGGCGGAAAGTGTCCGAGAGATCAGCTTCCTCAAGCAGGTTACTGACAATCGTTGCCTCTGTTTTTTCGTAAGCGTGTAGGGGGCGATTCCTGTCCAGTGAGTCAAGGACATTGTTGAAGTCACCAGTTACCAGCGTCCAGTCACTTGGGGAGGATTGTTTCAGCACTGGCGCAACGGATTCTGTCCACCAGATTTTACGTTCGAGGTAGTATGAAGGTGCATAAATGGCAATCAGTCAATAGTTGCAGTATATGCTAAGTATTCTGCCGTCCGCAGAGGCAACCTTGTCGGAGAGCTTGATCCGACGATTAAACACGAGTATAGCAATACCCCCCGGAAAGGTCTGAGCAGGCGTGACCACTGGTGGCACTTGCGCATATGCCGAGGGTTTCAGTTTATATCGTAATTTAGTGAAGTTCGTAGACAGGCGAGTATCAATCAAAACAAGTATATCGGGGGGGGGTACGTAACCATTCCTTCAATTCATCCATCTTGTCAGTTGCGTTCAACCCGTTGATATTAATACATTGGATAGCGAGGTGTGTATTCATTTTAAACACCTTTTTTGGCCCCTGTGTACCGAAGCACACACATCCACGGGGCGAGGAGTGAATAGGAACGTGGGGCAGAACGGCGAGATGAGGAACTTGTCCAGATTGCTTAACACCCGAATACAGGCAAAGCCAGCCCAGCCTAGCAGGGAGGAATAGGCCATGAGGCGCAAACTGGGGCTAAGCGGCCTATAGACACGGAGCCAAAGCCTTGCAGGTATCACATAGACAACATTGCACAGCGTGGTACGCGTCCACAGATGTGCTACTCCTCTGACAGGAATTGCGCAATCTTGTCGTTCTTTTTCAGGAACTCCTTGACCTTCAGATCCCCAAATTCCTCTTTCAGGAGCGGTCCAGTCGTCTGAAGGCGACGGAAGTGCTGAGGCGTGGCGCAGTGTGCGAGCGCCGTGTCGATGGTCCAACCGCAAACGAAATCGCATGCGCAACAAGTCCAGACCTCGACATCGAGGTCGAGGCCGATGAAGAGGAGACCAAGATCCTGTTTGACCGTGTTGGCGGCCGCCGAGTGTCCAAGTGCTTTGGCTGCCAGGGCAGATAACCATGAAATTGGAAAGAGGGGACAGAGGTGAAACCCAAGGGCCCACTAGTGGCAGGCCCGAGAAGAGACATACAAAGAGCTGTGGAAGAGACCAAGGGCAATAGAAATAACGGAAGCAAGGCCAAAACCCCCCAACATGTAAGGGTAGCAGAAATATCGAAGGCCGCTGACCGAGACTCGAGGGCCATTGAACCAGCAAAAACAGCAGAAAAGCACGGTTGACAGCGTACTTAGCAAAGAGAAATAAAGACACACCATTCACGTTTTGCAGCTGAGCGACCGAGATCGCGTAGGGATTGTTGATCTTGTTGCGGCGCAGCGTGGGGAACACGTAGTGGTCCCCGGTACGGTGGTTGCTCGAGCAGATGCCACAGGAGTGGCATGAGAGATTCACAAGGACCGGCTCGCGCACGTCCTCGATCCAGATGAGCGGCGGGGTTACGCTGAAAGACTCATCACCGATCATGGGCCTGACGATGCCATGCATCTGCAGCTGGAACATCTCCTCATAAGGATCAGAGGCGGTGTGAAAGTACAGGAGGTCCGAAATCCACTTCTGTCCCTCGCGGGTCTTGCCGTTCAACAGGATCGCCAACAGCTTCTCCTCAGTGAGACCCAAGGGGATGTTGCGGAGGACTATGTGCGTCTCGCCGCGCGCTTTAGCCGAGGTGAATTCGGGAGCGGGGTCGACGTAAACCTTGAGCTCGACCGCAGGGCCGTGCGGCGGAGAAAAGAAGATCGGGGGACGGGCACAGAATTCCTCTGCTGCTTCCTTGTTAGGGAACTGCAGGATCTGACGGGCGTAGGAGCGCTTGCCGAACTTCAGATTCTCGCCAGCCATCGACTTAATGGAGGGGATCTGCCAGCTCTTGAAATCGGAACGACGAAGACTTTTCTTAATGCACGCAACAATGTCCTTGCGATGATGCTCGGCAAGATTCTCAGGGAAAATTACTGCGACAAGAGTATCAAGATCACACTTAACATCCGACACAGTCTCACCGACCGTATCCCGCAGAGCACAAAGGCGACGGAAGCGCTTGCCAGGCGCACCCAGAGAGGGAGCAGAGGAAACCTCCACATTAACGACAGGAGCCGGCACAGGGGTCTGGCCGGGGAGCTTGGAAGAGGAGGAATATGCGGCTTTGCACACCTTCTTGGCAACGGGGGACCCGTCACCAATGAGGTCACTGAACGAAGGGGTGATCCCTGCGTTATCTGCCATCACCGCGTCGAAGGCAGAGGAGTGCTCCATGGTCTGCTGAGAAAAGAGGCAAACCGGAAGGGAGGTGCGAGGAAGCACTAAGCGGTAGGAGGCTAAATATCCCGCCTTTCCCCAGATGGAGAAACGAAGCGCAAGTTTACGAGAGGCGATGAGAGGGTGGTGAACCAAGAGCGCACGAGGCGCGAGGTGGCTAGGGCTTTCGCCATGGCGCACCGAGGATTGATGGACCAGCTCACGTAGGAATGTGTGAGAGGCATCGAGTGTGAAAGCACAAAGGAGGTCAGCTGGCGTCAGAAAGTGCCAGTCTGACGAGCAAACAAGCCATGCAGGCCTGAAGCAGCGAGGAGGTAGACAGCAGCTTGATTCGAACTCGAACGTAGAGCAGGAAGTGAGATGGTTGGCCTGGCCGTTGGGGCTGCATGTTACCAGCAACCAACACGCGTCAGAAGGGGAGAGAGAGCAAAAGGGAGCCACGTACACGGACGGATAAGGTGGGAACAGGAAGCACGAAGGTGGCCCAGGGGAACCAAAAAACGGCACGGTTACCTGAGTGAAGCAGGTTCGGCGCCGAAACCAGGAAGAGAACGAATGGGATTTCACCAAGTTGCCACGTAGCAGCTAGAAGCGGAGGGAATTGCCATGATAATAACGCTTACCTGTCGGGATGAGCTTGACCTGAGAGGGAGACGAGAGCCAATGGATACCAGCACAGTCGATCCAACACCTTGAAACTTGAACCAAAACCGTCCACCTGTCAGACCAGCAAAACAAACACGTGTGAGGGTTAGCAAGGAGCGAAAACACACCTACCAATAACCAGCCGAGGAAGAGTAACGAAGGTCCAGGAACCCTGGAGTTGGTGAAAACAGGTGTCTTGCTACCACAGGTGTGCTGGTACAGGAAGGCGGAGAGCTTGGAAGCGTCATCGAGGAAAGTTCGGAGTGCGGGCCCTTGGGATCAACGGTCCCTGCTTACTGCTGCCTGCTATGGGTGTCTTGGGCGGCTTACTGCCTGCTCTGGGGGTGCTGGGCCGCTCAGCCTCCCCTGTTGGGACCAACAGCCCTAGATCAGTGCGGGCCCTTGGAATCATCATCCCCAGCCCAGGGCGAAATTCGCTGCCACCTTTTGCTGTTTTGGCCGGTTTCGGCGACTTTGGCGTTGTCGGCAGTTGGGCTTCTGCCCTTTGCGCCCTTGGCAATAGGACGAGCTCTTTCGGGGTATCCAGCAGCAGCAGGTCCGTCCCACACTTCCCAGAGTTTTCATATTTCTCAAGAGTTTCAGATCTCTCCGAATTTTCATACTTCTCAGCGTTTCCAGCCTTTCCAACGGGTTCCCAGGTTTCCTGTTCGGTGTGGGCGGATAAAGACCGGTGAAAATGGAAGTTCCCTCCTCTGGCAAAGGTATCAGAGCTGGATCTGGTATGGGCCACGTTGAGAGGAGAGGCCGAGGACGAGGAGAAGGGAGAGGGCGCGGATGAGGGCAGGGGAGAGGGCATACCAGGGGGTGGTTTCAAGGGAGGGAAAGAGAAACTGGGACAGGAGGGGACTGCTGGCTGACGGGTTGAGTTGGGTGCGTCTAGAAGCGGAGGGGGAGTGAGGACGTGACGGAACGGCTGTCCCATCCCTCTGTTGCTGCTGCTGCTGCTGTTCAACAACAAGTTGCTGGTTGCATTGGAATTCCCATTGTCCGTGCCGGTTTCACTGAAGCTGAAGATGCTGCTGCTGCTGCGTGATCGCCTGTGAGTACCTCTCATTCCAGTCGCTCGAATCTCCACTTCACCCGCCTCGTGACCCGCCTCTTGACCCGCCTCTTGACCCGCCTCTTGGACTGTCTCTTGAGGCGGCAGTGAGAAGATTTGAACAAGGATGAATGAACTATGAAATGAAGTGAGTACAAATATGAAACCCTAATTGGTTGTACCCCCTATGGGATACCCCACTATAGCCTACACAACAGCATAAGCTATAATGTTCTGACACACCCCCATAGGCAAAGTGGGGGAGAACAAGGGGTCACAAGACTAGTCAAGCAAAGTAAAGCAAAGCAAGCTCAGGGTGGATCACAAAGTCACCACACAGTCCGAGCACAGGGTCAAGGCCACACGGCCAGTTCACATGCAAGAGTACACACATATATATAAAACTAGACAAGCAAGAGCAGGTATATATATATGTGAGAGTACAGGCAAGGTCAAGAGGAGAGCAAGTGAGGCAAGACGGGCACAAGACCCAGCTGAGTGCAGAAGCGCTGATGATCACAAGGCGGAAGTGCCTTGGTGAAGACATCAGCAGTGTTGGCCTCAGAGGCCACGTACGCAAGCCGCAACTGACCACGTTGCTGTAGCTCACGAGCAAGGAAGTAGCGGAGAGCAATGTGCTTTGTTCTGTGCTCCAGTCGCTGCTCTCGACACAAGGCCAGCATGGCCTTGTTGTCTACGTACAGGACTGGAGGAGAACGAGGCGGCTCTCCAAGGTCGGTCAGCAGGTAGGTGAGCCAGCGAAGCTCCTGTGCAGCCATGGCCCCGGCGTAGATCTCAGCCTCACAACTCGAGCCAAGAACAGAAGACGAGCGAGTAGCCCGCCACGAAACAGAGCCGGAACCAAGGCTGAAGGTGTAACCCTGTGACGACCGCTGCGTAGCCTGGTCGTCAGCCCAAGAAGCGTCCGCGTGCCCAGTGAGGACCACTGGACTCCGCCCTCCAAGCACTAGCCCCATGCCCGACGTACTGCACAAGTAGCGCAACACCCTCTTCGCTGCAGCCATGTGCTCTGGTCTGTGTCTCCCAGGAGCAACATAGCGTGCGAGAATGCTAAGAGGGTATGCAAGGTCAGGTCGTGTGCAGGTCATCAGGTACATGAGGCAGCCAACAAGCTCTGGGTACGGGCCACTCGACTCTACGGACTCATCCGAAGGCAGAGCTGAGAGCGAGTGGCGAGTAGACAGAGGAGTGGCCTGAGGCGAGGAGTACGTGAAGCCGAAGCGCTGAAGGACCTGCTGCACCATGTGTGACTGAGTCAGGGTAATGGTGCGGCGTGCTCTGTCCCGGGTGATCTGCAAGCCAAGGTAGCTGCGCAGTTCACCCAGGTCTGTGCACGTGTGTCTCTTCTGCAGCTCGGACTTCACGTAGGCGAGTCCAGCAGTGTCAGCTGTGGCAAAGACCAAGTCGTCGACGTACACGAGGATGTAGAACGGCGGCAGAGAGGTGTCGGTGCGTAGAAACAGCGACGGGTCGGCAGTAGAAGGAGCAAACCCAAGAGCCGCAAGTGTAGTCCTCAGTGTGTCGTGCCACTCACGTGGCGCCTGGCGGAGACCGTAGACTGGACGCCGGAGACTCCACTGGGTACCAGAAGGGAAAGACCCAGTGAAGCCAGGTGGGCGACGCAGCCAGATCTCCTCGTGCAGGCTGCCCTGCAAGAAAGCTGTGCTGAAGTCAAGAGAGTGCAGCTCGTAGTCACGGTGAGCAGCAACGTGCAGCAGTACCCGAAGAGTGGTCATCTTCGGGGTGGGGGAGAAGGTCTGAAAGTAGTCAACTCCCTGCCGCTGACTGAAGCCACGAGCCACGTAACGCGCCTTGAAGACAGGCGGAGAACCCGGCGGCCGCTTCACCCTGAAGATCCACATGCCACTGACGATGTTCGCCCCAGGAGGGGGGACAGCGTCAACGTAGGTGCCTGTGGACTTCCAGGAAGCCATCTCTGCATCCATAGCTGCCTGCCACTGAGAGGAGTAGGGACCCTCTATCGCCTCCGCGTAAGAGCGCGGAGTCGGGATGTCAAGTGCATCCGGGTCTCCCTCAGGGGTAAGCAGTACGGACACGAGATGAGGTGAGGCAGCTGCCAGACACTGGAACTCCTCCTGCCTGTCCTCAAGGACGTCCGTGCCAAGGGCACACTCACCCCCGACGGACGGAGGACAGACAGACTCAGACTCAGCGACAAGACTAGCAGCGTAGTCTAAGCGACAGCGAGCAGCAAAGTCGACGAGCTCAGTAACGAGAGCAGACGCAGCAGTAGACTCGAAAGAAGGGTCAGTGACAACAGTAGCAAGGAGACGCGTGACAGTAGGACTGGCAGCACGAAGAGAGTCCGACTCCGGGTCGGCAAGAGCAGGAAGAGAGGACTCAGGAGGAGAAGGCAAAGGGGCACGCAGAGGAGCAGTGGACGGACGCAGAGACATCCGGTGCGTGCCAGGGACAGGAGGAGGACGCTGACGCGAACCGCGACCACTAGTGCGAGCAGCACGGACAGGCAACGCAGGGCGAGACGCAGGCTCACGACGCTCAGCCAGACCTCCAGTAGGACCAGTGTAGGGAGAAGGAGCAGGCAAAGGGGAGGTAGGCTGCAACTGTAGCTGGGACGAGACAGGCTGTGGGTACTCTAAGGGAGGAGGAGGACCAGTAGAGGGTGGAAGACCAAGAACCTGCTGCAGGAGTGGCACGAAGTACGGTCGAGGCCGCGCGGCGACGCTAGAAGCAGCCGGGACAGCACCAGAACCCTCAGCAGGAGCACCCGCTCCAGCAGCACCACCAGTAGCTCCAGAACCTCCAGCAGCACCAGGAGCACCCCCAGAAGGACTGCCAGCAGTAGTCTCAGCGCCAGCACCCTCAGCAGCACCAGCTCCAGTGCACCCAGGACGAGCACCTCTGGGACCCGCGACCGCAGCACCCTCAGCAGCCGAAGGACCTCCAGCACCAGCAGCACGCCTCCAGCGCCGGGCAAACCACTCACGCAGCTCCTGTGGAGAAAGTGGCTCCCGGCGAGACGAAGGACTCGGAGAACCTCCAGGCGAAGCACCTCCAGGCTCAGCACCCCCAGGCGTAGCACCCCTAGGCTCAGCACCCCCAGACGTAGCACCCCTAGGCTCAGCACCCCCAGGCTCAGCACCCCCAGGCTCAGCACCCCCAGGCTCAGCACCCCTAGGCTCAGCACCCCCAGGCGTAGCACCCCTAGGCTCAGCACCCCCAGACGTAGCACCCCCAGGCTCAGCACCCCCAGGCTCAGCACCCCTAGGCTCAGCACCCCCAGACGTAGCACCCCCAGGCCCAGCACCCCTAGGCTCCGCACCCCCAGGTACAGCACCCCCAGCCTCAGCACCCTCGGCAGCACCAGAGTCACCAGTGACCTCGACAGGCTCGACCGCGTCTACCTGGGACACACCTGAAGGGGCAGGACCCTGAGGGGGGAGGGGGTCTACCTGGGGGGGACCTGGTACCAGGAAGAGTGGGGGTGGGGGGAGGGACGGAGTGCGGTAGGGGAAGAGGCGGTAGTAGGGGACCGACTCGTCAAACGTGACGTCCTGGGAGGACAGAACACGGCGAGAGGTGGGGTGGTAAAACTGCCACCCAGGCGCGTCAGGGGGGAACCCCAGGAAGACGCAAGGAGCAGCACGAGGGGATAGTTTGTCCGCAGACAGGTCGCGGACAAACGCCCGAGATCCCCAGACCCGGAACGCCGACGCATCGCCAACCTTCCCCGTCCACAGCAGGGCTGGGGAGGTCTCCGGCCTGGAGACCCTGGGGTGGAGGTTGATCTGATGCGCCGCGTACCGAACCGCAAACGGCCACAGAAAATGGGGGGCAGCCGCATGCATCATAGACGTACGAGCGACGTCCATGACCATGCCAATGCGGCGCTCAGCAATCCCATTTTGCTGCGGTGAGTCCGGAAGCGTGAAGGTCTGACGGATGCCCCGTGCACGACAGTAGGCACGCAGAAGGCCAGAGGAGAACTCTCCGCCTCTGTCCGAGTGCAGACGCAGAACAGGAAAGTCCGAGCCGAAGCTCTGCCTGAGCTGGAGACGAGCTGCGCGGATCCAGTCGATCAGCACCTCAGTGACATCACCCTTGCTGCGCAAGGGGAAGACTGTGGTGTAACGCGAGTAGTCGTCAACAACGAGCAGGAAGTAGCGCTCGTGACCCTGTCCACGGACGCGGGCTGGGCCCCACACGTCCATGTGAAGTGTCTGCAACGGGGCCTCTGTCGGAGGAAACTGGGAGGAGTGAGGGGCAGCACGCAGGCGCCCCTCGACACAGGGGACACAGGCAGGGCCAGGGCCCTGAGGAAGGGGAGGGAGGGACCGGGGGAGACCGGACACAAGAAGACGGGAGGCCATACCTCTGAGCCGAAGCAGAGAGGGGTGGCCAAGGCGGTGGTGCCAGAGGAGAGTCTCGTGAGACAGGAGACGACACGAACAGGGGGCAGACTCAGGACCAGACCTGGACGCCGCAGCAAACACCTGACCCGACGTAACTACCCTACCAGACTCAGCAGCTGGAGGAGACGCAGTGGTCAGAGTGTACAGGCTCGACCCCGGCTGACGGGTGAACGTAGCCAGGTGTCGGCCTGTGCCAGCCTCTGTACAGTGGGTCACTCTCTGACGTGCAGGAGTGAACTGGTGGACCCCCGCATCCTGTAGGTCAGCACCACTCACCAGGTTCGTAGAGAACGAGGGGAGGTAGAGACCAGACAGGGTGCCAGAGGGAGCCGCCGGACACGGGAGGACTGTGGAGAAGCGAGACAGGACAGGACCCCCAGAGGGGTCAGCCAGAGACACTGCAACCGGTCGACTCAGCGGTGTGAGTGTGGTGCGGTCCCGAAAGAAGGAGCGAGACGCCCCAGAGTCAAGGGTGAAGGTGAGGGAGGCCGAAGCCGACGCAGTACCTGAGAGCGCAGACTCACCAGTACCTGAGGACGCAGACACACGAGCACCTAGAGCAGCAGCGTCGCAAGCACCTAGGGCAGCAGCCTCACCAGGACCTAGAGCAGCAGTCTCAATGCCCGGATCGGGCGGGAAACACCGGTAACAGTCACCCTCATCACTAATAGACACAGCATACATGGCAGAGAGAATAGCATCAAAGTCAAGATCATAGATGGCAACACCCGCCCTAGACAGCTCGCCCCAGCGAGGGATCTCGGAGGCCTCCGGGAACTGGTGACGCCAAGCGTCCGTCAGGCGGCCAAAGCAGCGCTGGGTGGGGTGGGGACCCCCACACTGCTCACCCGCACGGTCGCCGGTGCGCAAAACGTAGGAGCACGGACCAAAACCCCCACCCCGCTGACGCGCAGTGTACCACTCACGAAGCTGCTGAGGGGACAGGGTGTCACGACCACGCTGCTGCTGCTGGCGCGAGCCACCACCGGAGCCACTCCTCTGCGAAGACCCGCGACCAGCACCACCGCCACCCCCGCCGCCTCCGACGCCTCCGCCGCCTCCGCTACTGCCGCCGCCTCCGCCTCCGCCGCCGCCTCCACCTCCGCCACCTCCACCACCTCCGCTCCCACCGCCACCGCCGCCGCCACCTCCACCTCCACTGCCGCCACCGACCCCTCCACCCCCACCTCCACTCCCACCGCCACCCCCACTCCCCCAACTGCCGCCACCTCCACCTCCACCGCCCCCGCTCGCTCCTCCAGCGCCCTTGCCCCCCTTGCCCTTGCCAGAGCGGCGTCTCCCGCTAGGGGCAGACGCCGCACCGACCGACTCAAGAACAAGGAGGTCGGCCGCAGCAGCAGAGGCAACAGAGGGCAGAAGGGGGGAGGGGGAACACCCCTCAAAGATGGGGGTGCGCGGGTCACCACGAGAGGCCCCTACAGCGACTATGCTCTTCTCGGCCGCTAGGAGGGACTTCTCGAGGAGGTCAACAGTGAGAGTGGTGGGACAGACAGAGAGAAAGTGGTCCCTGACTACGCGAAGGGAGTCAGGAAGGCGAGTGACTATGTAGTAAAGAGTGATGTACATGGGGGGGGGGTTCCTGGCGCAGAAGTCAGGAGGGAGTGCAGCGCGGTAGCGAGTGTCACTAGTGCGGAGGTGCGTAATGAGGTCAGTGACTGTGGGAAAGGCAGTAAGATCAGGAAAGAGGTACGGTAGCATGAGACGGCTCAGTGCAGCAGTGGCAGGGGAGGAGTAACGCGCAACTACAGCGTCGTACAAGGTCTGAGCACTCTTGTACTGACTAAAGTGCGCACGCTCGGAGGTAGGGAGGTGGCGACGCACAGCAAGACGTGCAGCAGCGTCGCGCGTGGCCCACTGGGAGCGAACAGTGGCGTCAGCATCAGCAGCAGGGGCAGTGGAGGTGCCAGAGGTGAGGTCAAAGAGAGAGAGGCCGTCTGCCCTATCGCACTGTAAGAACAGCTGCAGGTCATCTACCCAGACCTCAAAGTCAATGGCCCTACCCTCAGCGTCAAAGGCGAGAACACTAGGGGTAGCCATGACCCTAGACGACTAGTAGCGCAAACACTGGGGTGAGGACAGTGCAGTGAAAAGGCGCTGTGCTCACCAGACTGGGCAGGTCGGGCGGCCCTGAAGGAGGGCGGCGCGGCGGCTCGGCGGCTCAGCTGCTGGGCGGCCCGGCGGCTCGGCGGCCCCGCTGCTGGGCGGCTCGGCTGCTGGGCGGCTCGGCTGCTGGGCGGCGCGGCCGCTGGGCGGCTCGGCTGCTGGGCGGCTCGGCTGCTGGGCAGCTCGGCTGCTGGGCGGCTCGGCGGCTCGGCTGCTGGGCGGCTCGGCTGTGCTGCTGCAGGGCACGGGGCCGCAGGTAAGGGCGGCGGGGCCGCTGGTAAGGGCGGCGTGGCCGCGGGTAGGGTGGCGGGGCCGCAGATAGGGTGGCGGGGCCGCAGGTAAGGTGGCGGGGCCGCAGGTAAGGTGGCGGGGCCGCAGGTAAGGTGGCGGGGCCGCAGCAGAGGGCGGCGGGGCCGCAGGTAAGGGCGGGGCCGCAGGTAAGGTGGCGGGGCCGCGAGGAAGGGCGGCGAGGCCGCTAGGTAGGGCGGCGGGGCCGCGCGATGGGGCGGCGGGGCCGCGCGATGGGGTGGCGGGGCCGCGAGGAAGGGCGGCGGGGCCGCGCGATGGGGCGGCGGGGCCGCGCGATGGGGTGGCGGGGCCGCGAGGAAGGGCGGCGGGGCCGCGCGATGGGGCGGCGGGGCCGCGCGATGGGGCGGCGGGGCCGCGCGATGGGGCGGCGGGGCCGCGCGATGGGGCGGCGGGGCCGCTAGGTAGGGCGGCGGGGCCGCTAGATAGGGCGGCGGGGCCGCGCGATGGGGCGGCGGGGCCGCGAGGTAGGGCGGCGGGGCCGCGCAATGGGGCGGCGAGGCCGCGAGGTAGGGCGGCGGGGCCGCGGAGACGGGTGGCGGGGCCGCAGTGCAGGGCCGCTAGGGCGGCTCGACGAAGTGAGGGCCCGGAGCGCGACTCGGGCTGAGCGCGCTTCGGGCAGGAAAAAAAAAATCGATGTGGTGGGCCCTAAGCACAGTTCCCAAGGGGGAACCTGCTCTATACCATGAGAAGATTTGAACAAGGATGAATGAACTATGAAATGAAGTGAGTACAAATATGAAACCCTAATTGGTTGTACCCCCTATGGGATACCCCACTATAGCCTACACAACAGCATAAGCTATAATGTTCTGACAGGCAGGGGGGAGGGCGTGAGGGGTTGGCGCAGGAAAGCAGAGGCGGAGCGAGACACAGGGGAGGGGGTGCGGGGTTGGCGGAGGTGGGAAGAGGAGGCGTCATGCAAGGGGGAAGGGGATTGATGCAAGGGAGAGGGAGAGGGGGAGTGACGCAAGGGGGAGGCGGAGCGATGCAGGGGGGAGGGAGATTCCAGCAGCGTTCCAGAGAAGATCTCAAGAGCACCGGATGAGGATGATCGCAAGTGCCTTGTCGGGTTCCTTCCCTGCTGCTTCCCCTGCTGCTGCTGCTGCTGCTGCTGCCGCTGCTGCCGCTGCTTCTCCTGCTGCTGTTGCTCCCCATCAGCAGCAGCAGCAGCAACAGTCGTGGGTGCGGCGGCAGGTACGGAGGCAGGTTGGGCGAAGGGCACGCGGGCGAATTCAGAGATGGCGTTGGTGAGAGCAGCGGAAGCCGTTCGTTCCGCGAGCTGCCTCAGATCCTTCAGCGGAACGCCGTCTCTGGGCATGCTGCTGCTAGTGTTGGTGCTGATTTCATAGCTGTTGCAGCAGCCATGGCGGTGGCAGTGCGTCCAGGCGGCATGGGCGGCGCTGATGGCGCTGCTGCTGCTGATGGCTGTGCTGCTGTTGCTGGTGTTGCTGCAGCAGCCTTGGCGGCTGCAGTGCGTCCAGGCGGCATGGGCGGCGCTGATGGCGGCGATGGTGCGATGCAAGGGCGCTGGCTTCTCACGACCCGCAATGGTGCTGGGCGGATCGACTGGGGGGGAGGAACAGGGAGGGATGGGAAGAGGGGGAAACAGGGAAAGATGAATGAGAGAGGAAGGGCAGACGCAGGGAGCAGGACATGAGAGGGCATGCAAGGGTGCTAGGGAGCTTTGTCAACCAGATAGTGAAACGGCGAGGGGTGAAGTGAGGTGAGGTGATGTGAGGTAAGGTGGGGTGAGGTGGGGGTGAGGAGTGGTGAGATGAGGTGTGCAATGCAGACGTCCCAGAGAGGAGGCTCCACTTACACACGGTGTTACACTTGTAGTATTTCAGCCACTCCACAATTTGGCGCAGCTTCGCCTCCAGCCAAACCGGGTAACCACTTCGTGAATCCAGCAGTGCCGCAGCCATCGGATCTGACGAATCGACGGCCACGATCTTCCAGGAGGACTTGAGATCGGGGCTGACGACGAGAAACGCGAGCAGCGGCTTCACCGGATACACCTGCCCCACTCGAGCCTCCCCGCGCCCGATTTCGATCACCTCTAAAGGGGCGTGCTGGTCGCACGCGCCGTCGCACGCCTTGCCGCCCACATTGTCGCATGCCTTGTCACACGACTTGCGATTGCCAGATTCAGACTGAGGATTCCCTTCGATCATGTTGTCGCCTTGGCGGCAGGAGCACGTCTGCGGGATGATCCCGAGGTTCCAATCGAGGTTGTGACTGTAATGAGCGGGTAACCCGTCTACCTGGCGAACGCGCAGAGGATGACACGCCTCGTTATAAGCCGCCTCGATTTGCACCCACGAGTTTCGTGGCGTGCAGCAAACCATGGAAATGCTGTCGCCTGCCATAAGCCCATTCACACCCGCTGAAGCGTCCACAGCACAACTTCTCTCAGCAATCGACCTCTGAGAAGCCGCTCCAAATCTTGCAGTCGACTTAGAAGACACTCCAGCACAGCCACCGCTGCCGCCATCTGTCGAAGCTGAGTCAGCAGGGCGAATTGGAACGTCATTCCACGTGGAGATTGGGTGGAGGATCACGGTGCCGTCCTCATTTCGCCCAGACTGAATGGTGGAAGCGCCGGCGGGAGGGTCGGACAGGAGAAAGCCCCGGTACAGCACGGATCCGGGGAGACCGAACTCGATATAGTCACAGACTTCCATGGCGGCTGTGCATGCCTTTGCTGACTCGTTATCACCAGTGGTGTGATAGCCACCCGTGTTCCTGCTCCAGCACCGGATGTCACTTGTAAGTTCGCCTGTAAGGTAGCAGCTTTAGCCGTGTTCTGGTTTGTTAGAGGCTTTCAACGAACCAGTAACCACTACTGGTGCAACTAGAACTCAGCTGTTTGTAGAGAGTTATCGGTGCGCCATGCTGGACTGAAAACGAGAAGTGAGGGATGCCTCCAACAAGAAGTGTGGGATTCTAGGTGCGGAATGTCTTTGAAGGAGGGATACCTACTCGCCTCACTCGCACACTCTTTCTTTCTCCCGCCGGTTGAAACCAGACCGACTAAATGCGGGCGTGTGGAGCGTACGGAGCGGCACGTCCCTCATCCCGGTCTGGCTGGCAACGACAGGTGTGACCTTTTAAGTTTGCAGGACAAGTGAATCGCCTCGTGATAAAGGTGTATTTTTGTAGACATCTCAAAATCAGCGTACGGAGCGGCACGTTCAGGTGTAGTAGCTGGCATTGACAGGTGTGACCTTCTAGTTTGCACGACAATTGAATCGTCCTGCAAGGCCTTTGGTCGGCGAGTGGTGGAGGGAGTGGCATTAGGGACTGAGTTTCGCCATTAATATGCGATGACAACTCGGCGTGTTGCCAGGCTGGTTTAGACGACAACCCTAAACTCAGCAGGGTCCGCGTGTTTGCCAGGTTGGCTTTAGGACTGAGTGAATTCATAACTCCGCTAAGAGACACGCTCCTTTCGTCGACTATAACACCTCGCTACCCACTGGGTCAAAACGAGGGTGTTATTTGGCGCAGCGGAGTGCCCTTAACACAGCCCACAGGCGTTACACTCGTCCCCCCCTGGTGCCAACGTCCCCGTTGGCCTCGGACTTCAGGGAGTCGGCCCCCTGCCGCTGGGACCTAGATTTCAGGATCGTTCACTGGGTTCGAGCTGGTAACCACACTTCAGTTCTCACCATAGGTGGAAAGTGTGGACCAGCCGGGACTCGAACCCTAGGCTCTGAAACCAGTATAACACCTCGCTACCCACTGGGTCAAAACGAGGGTGTTATTTGGCGCAGCGGAGTGCCCTTAACACAGCCCACAGGCGTTACATCTACAGACGCAGAGTGAGCTGCACGCGGGAGCACGCGACGCGGCTTTCGACGAATTTTGTGCGGTGGTTTCTCCTCGCCTCACCACCACCACCAACTGTCTGCCAGTCATCGGTCAACAGTACCAACCTAGGTAACGCATCAGTAAACCCTAGCTCCCGCTCCCCCATTCATCTGTTTCTCCCTCTCGTTCTCTCATCCTGTCGTTCACTCTCTCTCGCTCTCTTCTCTCCCTGAGCAGCAGAGATTGGAAGACTGTGCCACACTTCCACTGTAGTGCGATGCTGACAACTGCTAAAATGCCGGTTTCGCCCAACAGAGAATCGAGACCCAATAGTGTCTGTGTGGTCCCTTGCAAGCAGACGCGTTTGTCGCGTACGCCTGGAATTGAATAAATCGAGGAATAGAAGCACTGAATCACATCCAATCCCATAGGTGGCCTCTGGGTGGTATGATGACAATATCTTGTGGGGAATTAAAAATCCCCTTCGGCCCCTGCTAGCTACCGCCAGTGTTCGTTACACACTGCGCGCCAGCATCACCAACGAAACCCTGCCTAGCTGTAACCAGACCGAGTGGGCCTGGGGCGACTGTACTCATTTTGAGGCACTCATTTAAGGATGTTAGCTTTGAAACGCACAAACCTAGTTATCAATATCGTCATTGAAACTCATATCGATATTAGTGAACAAAAAAATAGCATTTTACAAAGGTGCAATTGTGCAAATTAATTCATGGAAGCCGGTCTGTGAAACATTTAAAACGAACATTGCACCAAAGTGCAGTCACTGTTTCAATTTCCTCTTATTCCATCCAGGATCCTATGTCACCCACCTCCCTTGGCTCCTCCCTCTCCTGCAATTTCCCCAATATCCCCCTCTTCTCCTCTCACACAACATTTCCCCTCCTCTCCTACAGTCAATCCATCCTCTTCCCCTTCCACTGCCTCTTCCCCTTCTTCCTGATCTCCCATACCCTTCCTTAAAGCTGTACCCAAACTCCCTTTTTTCTCCTCCTCCTCCGCCTCCTCCCCACCTGCATCCCCTCCTCCCCCCCACATCATCCCACGTGCCACGCCTACCAACCCTTCAAAGCCCAGCCACCCAGCCTCTCCCCTCCCTTCCTTCCTCTCCTCCCCCACTCCCTCTCCCGCACCCCACCAGCCTGCACCCAGCCCCCACCCTCCTCCCGCACCAAACCCAGCAAGCCCAGCAAATCCACCACTCCCACCCACTGCTGCGCCCTCCATTAGTTTCTCTAGGCCAATGGGAGGCACAGGAGGGGAATACATTGGCAGGCTCAGTTTGGCTTGCTTTGCTCTGCCGTCCATGACAGGCTTGGGGGTGGAGGGGGGCCGCCAGAATTCTCTGGAAGCCGAGTAAACAGCCACGGCCGCCCGGATAGACTCTCCAGGGGACACTGGCGCTGCCACCGCCGCCGCTGCTGCTGACAGGAGGGAACCCACACCTCCGTCACTGTTTGCCCTCTCACACCTCCTTGCTGGCCTCTTGATTCTCTCCTCCTTGCTCCCCTCGTCAATACCCTTGCTACTCCCCCCATTCCTCTCACTCCAAAGCTCGCTTTCCCCATTCTTTTCCCCATCCCTTTCACCAGCCATGCCTTGCAGGAGAGCCATCTCTTGGCGGTGCTCCAGCAGCGCGCGCTCTTGAAAGGAGAGCAGCGAGCGGGAGATGCGCAGCGAGCGAGGGAGCGAGCGCTTGGTCCAGTGGGGCAGGCCGGGCAGAAACAGGCCCACGGGTGGGGGATGCGAGGGGGAGAAGGAAGAAGAGGCACCCATGCTCTCATGCCATCGCCTCAAGCGCGCCTCAAGTGACTCCTGCCCCTCCTTCCCTCCCTCCCCTTCTGCTGCTGCTGCTGCTGCTGCTGCTGCTGATGCTGCTTCTTCTTCTCCTCCTCCTACTGCCACTTCTGCTGCTACTTCTGCTGCTGCTACTGCTGCTGCTACCGTTGCTGCTGGTGGAGCATGCGGCTGCCCAATGCCAAATGGCACGCCATCAATATCAGGGCAGCTGGAGGTGCGGTGGAACCTTCTAGACGCACCCACTCGGGGTGCTGCTGGTCTTCTTGGCAACTGGGGTGCAGCAGAGTGGGATGTTGTCCTGCCTGCTTCTCTTCCTGCAGATGTTGCTTCTCCTGCTGCTGCTCCTGCCGCCGCTCCTGTGGATGCTTCTGCAGCCGCCCCTGCTGCAACAGAAGAGTAGTCTGTAACTGCTACACCTTCTCCTTCTCCTCCTCCTTCTCCTCCCCCTCCTTCTGCACCTGCCGCCGTTGCATACCCATCGCCACTGCCTGCAGAGCAAATATCAAGCCTCTCGGCTGCTGCAGCCTGTCGGGTCCACCCGGGACTGCCCAGGTCGGAGGAGAGAATGATGGGCACAGGCGAGACGTCACACACACTCAAGATCCGCTCACATACCAAACTCGCACTGCCCACACTCCCCACGCTCCCCATAATGTCACGGCGCCGCAGGGTTGGTACAAAGGTCGGTTCAATGGCGCGTTCGAAGGTGCGTTCGCAAGCAACACTAGCACTTCTGCGGTGTTGTCGCAATCGCCTGCCGTCATGGGTTTCAGGAGAGATACAAACCATCCCCTGCATGCTCCTTTCCACACTGCTGCTCCTGTGTGCTGTTCTGCTACAGCCACTCCCCATGCTCCCTTCTTCCTTTCTGAAAGTGCTCTCCCTCAGAGCAATCGAGAAGGGATCATCCCCATACACACACTCGGCAAGGGCTTCGTTATAAGCACACACACCACCGCCATCCTCCTCCTCGCTGTCAGAACAACCACCGGCAACAAGCTCCTCAATATAAGAACGTACGGTTTCGGAGTGCTGAGAGTCGCCAGGATGAGTCGAGAAGTTGTAGCTCAAGTCCATCCATGAAATTGGGTTGTCTTCTCGTGCCGCGTTGTCTCGTGCCGTGCTGTCTCGTGCCGCAGTCGTATGGTGCTTCGGAGCACATCCCTTCTCTGCCTGCTTTTGAGTCGACTCAATAGCAGACGAGAAGTTGTAGCTCAAGTCCATCCATGAAATCGTGATTTCTTCTCGTGCAGTTGCTGTATGGTGCTTCTGAGCAGATCCCTCCTCTGCCTCCTCTTCCTGTTCTTCCTCCCCCTTCCTCTCCTCCTCCTCCAGCTCCACACCCCTCTTGCCCATTCCCCTCCACTCCTCCTCAATATTCTGCTGCAGCTTCTGCTGCTGCTGCTCATCCAAACTCACCTCCTTGACTGCGTATCCACCCACATACCCCTCCACAGCCGAGTTCTGAGATGGCTCAAAACCGTGCGCATATCCACCCACGAACCCGTGAGCTCCTGCTGTTCCTGCGATGATAGAAGCAGCAGCGGTGAGAGCAGCATCGGCATCGCCAGCACTTGCAGCCATCGCTTTGATATCTCCGCTGCTGATGCTTCTGCTTCTGCTGCTGCTGCTACTGCTGCCAAAGGGCCAAGGCGAGGTTGTAACTGGGGAAGGGGAGGCATCAGCTGGGAAAGGGGAGACATTAACTGGTGAAGGGTAGGCATTAGCTGGTGAAGGGGAGGCGTCAACTGGGGAAGGGCAGGGCGGGGTGAGGCAAATTAGTGGCGCCAGCTGTGCTGCTGCAGAGGCTCTCACTGCCTCATAGCCCCCGTGCCCCACTCCCTGCCCTTTTGCCTCCTGCCCTTGTGCCACCTGCCGCACCTTCTGCCCTGCTGCTGCCTGCTTCAACCTCTCCTGCAGCTTCAGAGGCAGCTTTAGCTGCAGCAGCGGCTCTTCTCCCACCTCTTCCTGCTGCTGTTCCCGTTCCTGCTGCTGCAGCAGCAACTGCTCTCCCGCATCAGCACTACCCGAGTCAGCAGTAGCAGAAGCAGCAGGCGTTTGCTTGCAGCTCTCAGTTGATTCCAAGGCAGCAGCTTTTGCTCGTTGCCTTCGCATGAGCGCAGAGGAACCGCTGCCTGCCTCAGGCTGGCAAGGCTGAGGGCCAGGTGAAGACACCTGCCGCACATTCTGGGCCAATTTCTGGGGCGACTTCTGGGGCGACTTCTGGGGCGAATTCCCTGGCATACTCTCGGGTAATTTCCCAGGCACATTCTGGCCCCACCCAAACGTTCCCGCTGAGTTCTGGAGTGAGCGCCTGTGAGGATTCCGGGGCGAGTCTGCACGGACCTGTGAGCTGCGAGGCACTCTGGGGCTCTTTGGAGGGAGCCGGGGCACGGGCCTTACTTGAGCCTCCTGTTCTTCCCTGCAGCCCCTGCAGTTCCTGTGACTCGTCTGACTCAGGTGCTTCTTGCAGCAGCAGCAGATCGAGATCGCTCGAGCCCAGGAACTCACTGGCCGAGCCGTAGGCTCGTTGCAGCATTGTGAGAGACCGGCTCCTCCTGTGCGAGCGAGAGACAGGGCGTGGGACGGACGTCGGAGAAAGGCCCAAAGCTCCCCCTCCTCCTGCTGCTCCTCCGCCACCTTCACTGACCACGTGATACCCATACTGCGTGGGTGAAGGGGAGGTTTGGAGGTGAGACGTGTGTGTGGGGGTGAGGGCCCTAGCTAACCTCCTGCTGCTGCTGCTACCGTGACTGCTGATGCTCATACTGTCGCTGCACCCAACGCTGCTGCTGCTGATATCGCCGCTGCTGCCCCCCGGAATGTACACGCTCCTGCCGCTGCTGCCCACGCTGCTGCTGCAGGCACTGCTGCCTCTGGGAATGCTGGCGGGATTGTGAACGCTTCTTTGAGGTTGCTGGCGACGCAATGGAGCAGGGTAGACGGGAGTAGCGTGAACTGGGATACCATATGCATCTGGGTGTGGAGGTGGAGAGGCCGTGTGTGCTGAGTGCTCAAAGGAGGCTGCATAGGACGAGGCAGCAGTAGCAGCAGCATAGCGGCTGTGCTGTAGTGATTTGTGCCAAGATCGCTCAGTGTTGTCAGAGAGAGCACGTTTGAAGCGGGCCAACACGTCAGTGCTGCTGTCAGGAAGGCGTGGACTGCTGTCAGGAAGGCGTGGACTGCTGTCAGGAAGGCGTGGACTGCTGCCCGGATAAAGGGCGTCCTCAGAACGAGGCGGGGGTCGCTCGGTCTTGTCAGAAAGAGCCCGCTTGAAACGGGCCAGCACGTCCGTGCTGCAGTCGGCGTTGTTGTAAAGAGATGTGGGGCTTTCGGAAAGAGGCATCGTGAAGTCAGCGTAAAACTCGTCATGGTGGTGACTATTGGATGAGTATGGAGGATTGAAGAGTCTCTCCTGCATCCGCACGAGAATCGTCAAAATCAACATCATATTCAGCACCAGCAGCACCACCAGCAGCATCAAAGTCAGCATCAGCATCAGCATCAGCAGTGGCACCACCAGCACCAGCAGCCAGAGAGCGACACAAGCCCGAGGAAGCAGAATCCAGCCCCTTTGGGGAAAGGGAATTCGGTGAAGCCATGCTCTGGTTAACTGGAGCATCTGCAGATGCTCCCTGCGTGCTGCTCTTGTTCTCGCTCTGGCTCTGGCTCTGGCTCTGGCCTTTCCCTCGGCTCTTCCCAAACAGCTTCAGCACTGCTTTCAGCACCCCTCTCTTGCTACCGCTCTTCTCACCACCACCGCCACCACAGCCACCACCATCAGTACCACCAGCGCCACCAGCGCCACCACCAGCAGGAGCAGCAGCAGCAGCAGCAGCAGCAGCAGCAGCAGCAGCAGCAGCAGCAGCAGCAATGGCAGCTTTGGGAGTCTTGGGCCCATTGCATCCTTGGAGCCATCAGTCCCAGCTCAGTTCGTGCCCTGGGAAGGGTCTTGGGCACCTCAATTCCTGCTTTGGGGGTCTTGGCAAGATCAGCTCCCACTGTTGGCGACTTGTGGAAGCTGCTGGCTTCTTCAGCCGTTTTTCTCGGAGTTTTGAGCGTCCTCGGCTTGTTGGAAGTGCTGGGTGTTTTGGGGGTTTTGGACGTGTTGGGCGTTTTCGGCTGCCCGACGGGTCCTGCCTTTGGCAACTTGGCCAGTCCGGCTTGCTCTTTCGTAGTGTCAGGCAGCAGATCTGCGCCAAGCCCCCCCGACTTGCCAGACCTTTCCAGCTTCCCAGCCCTGCCAAGCTGTTTTTGAGACTCCCGTTCAGTCTGAGCGGATATTGACCGGCGGAAGTCGTACCTCCCTCCTCTCCCTACAGGCGCGGCAGTGGGCACGGGAGAGGGCAGGGAAGAGAGGGGAGAAGCAAGACCAGGAGGAGGCTTCAAGGGAAGGTAAGCGGGATCGGGAGAAGAGGAGGGGATTGCTTGGGGAGGGGTTGAGGGAGAAGCGTCTAGAAGCGGAGGTGGGATTAGGACGTGAAGGGTAGCCGATCGACCCATATGCCGGCTGCCGCTGCTGCTGCTGCTGCTGCTGCTGCTGCTGCTGCTGCTGCTGCTGCTGCTGCGGATTGCGTTGGGATTCCCACTGCTACAAGCACCAATGTCGATGTTGCTTTCACTGAAGCTGAAGCTGATGCTGCTGCGTGATCGGCCGTGTCTGCTTCTCTGAATGTCCACTTGACCCGCCTTTGGCGCTTCACCCACCTCTTGACAAGCCTCTTGATCCACCACTTGATCAGACTCAACTAGGTCGAGAAACACAGATCTTGAGGCCGCTTGCCGGTGGGAGGGGGAGGAGGAGGAGGGAGAGAAGGCATGCGGGGGGCGGCGAGGGGTGAGAGGCGGCAAAGGGGGACGCAGCAAGGGGGAGGGCGTGAGGGGTTGGCGCAGGAAAGCAGAGGTGGAGCGGGTCAAGGTGCGGGGTTGGCGGAGGAGGGAAGAGGAGGAGCGATGCAAGGGGGAGGGAGAGTCTAGGAGCATTCCGGTGGGGATCTCGAGAGCACAAGACGAGGAGGATCGCCAGTGCCTCGTCAACTTCCTGCCCTCCTGCTGCAGCTTCACCTGCTGCTGTGTCTGTTTTTCCTGCTCCTCCAGCTGCTCCTGCTGCTGCTGCTGCTGCTGCTTCCCCTCCTGCTGCTGCTGCTTCCCCTTCTGCTGCGGATGCTTCTCCTGCTGCTGCTGCTGCTGCTGTTGCCACTGCTGCTGCCACCGCACTTTCATACGCGCCAACCCTCCCTGCTTCTGCGCCTGCTGCTGCTTCTGCTGTTGTTCCACATCATCATACACTTGCCATCCTTCTTCGTCTCCTCTCCCCCAATCCCCACCCCCACCATCACTCTCACTTGAATCATCCGCTTGCTCGTCGATTCTAATTGACATCTCCTTCTTTCGCATGCCAGACCGGCCCGGCTCCGAGCCTGACCTTCTGAACCGGCGTTGCTTCCGAGCCTGCTGGACCACAGGCTCGGCGACAGAAGCACCATCAGCGGCGGCGGCAGGTACGGAGGCAGGTTGGGCGAAGGGAACGCGGGCGAATTCGCAGATGGCGTTGGTGAGAGCAGCGGAGGCCGTTCGCTCTGCGAGCTGCCTCAGATCCTTCAGAGCAACGCCGTCACTAGGAATACTGCTGCTCGTGGTGTTGGTTCTCGTTACGTTGCTGCTGCGGCGGCGGTGGCAGTGCGTCCAGGCGGCATGGGCGGCGCTGATGGCGGCGATGGTGCGATGCAAGGGCGCTGGCTTCTCACGACCCGCGATGGTGCTGGGCGGATCGACTGGGGGAACGGGGAGGGTTGGGTGGGGTGATGGGGAGAAATGAGTGAGACCACTCAAGGGCGCTGGCTTCTCACGTCCCGCTATGGTGCTGGGCGGATCGACTTGGGGAACAAGGGGGGTGGGGTGGGGGGCGTTGGGGGGGGTAAAGGGTTTACAAGGGTAGGGTGGGAGACAGGGAGGAGGACAAATAGAAACAGGAGGGATTACGGGTGAAAGAGAAAGGAAGAGGATGGGGAAATAGGAATATCAGGGTGGGTAAGAAGGGAGAGAGGAACCAGGGAGCAGGGCAGGGCACAAGAGAAGGGAGAAAGGAGTCAGGGAGCACGGCACGAGAGAGCATGAAGGGGTATTAAGGAGGTGCATGGACAAAAAACTGAAGGGGCGAGTGAGGGTGAGGTGAGGTTGCACTTGCTCATGCCAAAGTGAAATGGAGACTCCACTTACACACGGTGTTACACTTGTAGTATTTGAGCCACTCCACGATTTCGCCCAGCTTCGCTTCCAGCCAAACCGGGTAACCACTTCGCGAATCCAGCAACGGTTCAGCCATCGGATCCGAAGAATTGACGGCCACGATCTTCCAGGAGGACTTGAGATCGGGGCTGACGACGAGGAACGCGAGCAACGGCTTCACCGGATACACCTGCCCCACTCGAGCCTCCCCGCGCCCGATTTCGATCACCTCCAACGGTGAGTGCTCGTCGCACGCCCCGTCGCATGCATTGTCGCACATGGTCGCGCATGTCGCCGCGTCGCAGGCCTTGTCGCCAGATCCAGACTGGGGATCCCCGTTGTCGCCTTGGTGGCAGGAGCACGTCTGCGGGATGATCCCGAGGTTTTAATCGAGATTGTGACTGTAATGAGCGGGTAACCCGTCCACCTGGCGAACGCGCAGAGGATGACATGCCTCGTTACAAGCCGCCTCGATTTGCACCCACGAGTTACGCGATGTGCAGCAAACCATAGAAATGCTGTCGCCCGCCATAAGCCCATCCAGGCCCGTCGCCTCTAGGCCCAAGCCGCCGCCGTCGTGCGATAAAGCTGAGTCAGCAGGACGAATCGGAATGTCATTCCACGTGGAAATCGGGTGGAGAATCATGGTGTCCTCCTGATCTCGCCCAGACTGAATTATGGAATTCGGCGAAGATGAAGGCGAAAACGAAGACTTGTTGGACGCGGTAACAGCACCAGGTGCGGAGGTGGCGGAAGTGGGAAGGTCGGACAGGAGAAAGCCCCGGTACAGCACGGATCCGGGTAGACCGAACTCGATATAGTCACAAACCTCCATGGTCGTGAACGACTTTATCAGGAAAATCGCTTGCTTTCGTGTTGGAGCACGACCGGATCACTTGTTACACAGAAACGTCAGATCATGACCGGATACCAGAGGAGGGATTGTGCCTGAGGGCTTGTACGGCTGAGGAACAACTTGGAGTTACGTGTCTTCCAGAAGTCTACTAGTAGCGGAGCCGTTACTACCGGAACTTGGGTTGTACTTGGAGAGAGCTATCATCGGCAGCCAGCCGAATCGAAATTGAGAGCTGGAAACGGCTATTAATCCTCTCTCTCTCCCGTTAAAAAACACACCGACGATAGGAAACGAGTACCCAGAATGCGATGCCTCGACCCATAAGAAGGCGACTGGGAGCGGAAGCATTGTGTGCTTCGAGCGGCACTGGGAGTCTCTCGTTCCACTCAGCAGGCGCCTCAAGGCTCCTTTCCACGCACGTCAAGAATTGTGCGGCTCGAAAAATGCTTCCATCCAAGCCTCTCTTTCTAGACCGTTTGATCACGACCTGACGGCTTCGAGCTACGTCCAGGCCGACGTCCGACGGCCATCGCCTTAGGCACTGGCGACAATAAGTGCCAGGCTGGCGACTTCAAGCTATCGCCATGTCCGACGGCCATCACCGGCGACAATAAGTGCCAGCCTGGCGACTTCATGTTTCCGTCATGACTGGCGAGCGACGTTCGTCGCTTTGGTCGGCTGGCGGCCGTTCAAGCTGTCGTTTCACTCTCTGTCCCTGTCTCCCATCCCACCCTCCTGAGGGTGAGACTGAAGGTCCCTGCAATGTCGCTTTTGCTGAATCACATTTGGGGAGTTCTAGATTCATGACTTGGCATAACGACGCGGGTGCCTGTGCCACTTTTCGTCGCAGTCTGTTTCTAACGTCCATGTGATCTGTCCTAGCGACTGTCGAGAGTGAGCGAACCAGCGTGGCGAAGGGTGGCGCCATCGGTGAAAAAGACAGCAAGACTAATCTTGTCCCCCAAGCTGTGTCGCACGACATTGGCAGAGTGAGAGTGTACACAACGGCATGTACAGAATCCGTTGGCTATCGAAACATGTCCCTAAGGACAGAGTAATGTCCTCCATCATAGTCTCGGCTCGGCTCGCCTAAACTCGCGAATTTTGTTATGTAGTGCGAAAGCACGACAATGAATGAAGGACAGGCAGGCGCCGTATGAAACGACTGTGGAGGAAGTGGTGGAGAGGAGAATGACAATGAAACAAATGAAATGACTGTGGTGGAAGTGGTGGAGAGGAGAATGACAAGGAAACAATTCAGCTGTGTGTACAAAGGAATCTCCAACGGCTAGTTTGGAATTGCACAAGCAAATTCAGTTCAGAGAGATCGAACGAAGCTTGGTGGTGGTGCTGATCCGAATTCAAATCTCACTTCTGTGGGGACAACGGTGTTCGTGAGTGACCTAGTTTTTTTTTTTTTTTTTTTTTTTTTTTTTTTTGAGGTTTGGGAGGATGATCATTTCAACAAGCATACAGACATGCATAAACCCTTCCTAGAAGTGTCTTACTACCTCAAACATCAAAAGACCATCGCCAAAACCCGAAACAAAGTATTGCTTCCTAAGACATCTACAGCCGCATGTCGACCAAGTAGGGCACGTCCACCCATGGTGCTCCCTCTCCAAAATCCTGCTCCCCACCCCATCGCTCCACCCACTCCGCCTCGGACTGACCCAACGTGTATGCCGCCCGCAAAAGAATCACCCGAGCCTGTGCCTTCTGCAAAGCTACCCCTACCGCGGCTGTCAAGGACCCCACCAAGTATTCCGAGAAACCCGAGCTGTTGCCCCTTCCCACACCTTTGTTAAGAGCCACCTTTACTTGAACCTCCCCCTGCTGCCGTAACCACTGTCGAAAGCTTCCCCCCAAGCAACCCCAAGTCTCAAGAATCAACGGGAAGAAACGAACCCCCCTGTGTTGCCGCAGAAAAGGTTGATAATCCGTCGCCTTCCTCTTCTCTCGCTCCTTGGCAGCAAAACCTAATGTCCGCCCACACTGCCCATGCTGCTGCACCGGTAGCGAAACCGGATCCACGACGCTCACCTCGAGCGCATGTTTTTCCCCGTCCATTGGTTTCCTAACCGCCACATCCACTCTCTTCCCCGGCAGAAGCGTGTCATCCTCGATCGTAACCACCCCACCCGATGCCTTGGCTATCTTAGCAACAACGAGCTTCACTGCATCATGAACACGAGACGGGGCGTACTGGTACTTGCACCGAAGAGCATGGTGCGGATCTGACGGGTCCTTGAACTCCACACCGCAAACACACTTGCCAGCAACCAGAAGCTGGTGGACGGGAAGGCCCAAACGGATTGCCGCCGAAATGCCCCACTCCACAGGGGTGAAAGTTGCGTCATCATGCGCTGGAACTACGGACACCCATGCTGCCGAACCCGGGCCCTGAAGGGAAGTCAAACGGGCCAAGGTAGCATCATCGCGGGCCATGCGCCGCAGAGACTGAAGACTTTCAACCGCCAAGCGACGCTGCTGCGCTGGGAAAAGCTGGAGGGGGGGATTTGTAGTGCAGAGCCCCAAACTCGGCAATTCCTGCCTGACAACAGGCGGGAGCTGGTCAAGGGCCTTGGTAAACCAAGGGTCCAGTAAATCCCCAGCCGGCGGAGTGCGGAAGAACTCACTGAACATCTGCTCCTCGCCCGCTACTCCCAGCTTGACAACAGCACTCGCAGCCTGGCACCACCCACAGACGTAAGAGAGAGGGCTAAGAGTTGTTGCTGAACGAATGCCAAAGTGGGGCCGTACAGTGCCAGAGAGGTGACCAACCAGGGGCCGAGAGGCCCGAAACTGGCCAAACCGCTGCACGAGGAGCGATTAACAGAGAGGTTCGTCATGGCTTGTATTTTCTCTCACACCTCAATTCTCTTTGGATATCGTAAATGATTCGTTTTTTCCACCTTGTAGCGTCGTTTAGCGTGCCAGGTAGCGCTACCGGCGGTACCGACGCTACCGGGAAATGTTAGGGCAGCCCAAATAAACTAGAACCAATAGGAAATCTTGACGTATTTTCGGGATGGATCAACCCTAAACACGGCAACCCGCCTGGTGTTTAGGGTTGATGCCTCCCGAGTCGCATCCGTTTCCGAACGGGTTTTATTTTTTTACGTCAGCTAAAGTGATGTATTTTTTTCGGAAAACGATTATGCATATTTGTTCTCAAGAATGTAAACTTGATGAAACCTACTTCCAGAGGAATGCGACGCAAGCTTCATATTAGGCGGCGATCAGAACATTTATTTACTTTACATCGTGGTTCGGATTCTCGGCCCAACCACTTGGGCAGCCCCGGAGGTATATCCAACGGTTGGGATTAACCCAGCCCTAATTTGGTCACCTCCCTGCTATTGTTCGGCCCCTATTTGATCTTTTCCCAGTTTTCTTTATGTTATTGGTCAGAAAACACATGGCTGCTGCTGATTGATTGGTGGTGACCTGACTCTATCTCGAATCGACCCAGCCCTTGCAACCTGATCGACCCAGCACTTCCGTGCTGTTTTTAGGCGACATGATTCTGTCGTCGAGAGTTGAACGGTTGTCGCCTCAACTTTCGCTGTATTTAGGCCCAATAGTGAAGATCGCATTTGATCGCCCAGCAATTGGATGCCCACACTCCAAGGGATTTCATAACAGCCTGGCAACAGTCGCAAATGTGTGGTTGCTGGTCAATTTCTTCGATCGCAATCGCAAGTGTGGGCTCTCCTCTTGCCGCAGCCTGGCAACTGTCGCAAATGCGACAAATGTGGAAGGGGTCCAACGCTACAGCTCGCCCTTGACAGCCCATCACAGTCGCACACCAAGCAATGAGAGCTGTAAGGATTTACAAATCCTTACTCAGGCACTCGTTAGCGAGGCCATCCTGAGGGTCACGAGACGAACCTGTCCTTCCTATTTCGTCGCACCGAACCACTCCCGAGTCGGCCTCCGCTCCAATCGCAACCATCACCGAGCCATCTTGCCCTACCTCCCCGCCTAGCTAGCATTGTCAAACATTATATGTTTATATTGTGTAGGCTATAGTGGGTTTAGCCTTAGGGGGTACAGCTTTGTTAGGGTTTCCTACTTGTATCCCCCTCCTACCTAGTTTCATCCATTCTCGTTCTATTCTAGATTCTAACATGGTATCACGAGCCTAGGTTGCTACCTAGGACCGCTTTCTACTATGGGCCCACTATTCCGCTAGAAGCGCCCTCGTGCGTCCTACCTTACGTGCGCCCTCGTGCGCCTTTCTCTGCTAGTGCGCCTTCGTGCGCCCTCGTGCGCCCTCGTGCGACTTTCTCTGCTAGTGCGCCTTCGTGCGCCTTCGTGCGCCCTCGTGCGCCCTCGTGCGCCTTCGTGCGCCCTCGTGCGCCCTCGTGCGCCCTCGTGCGCCCTCGTGCGCCCTCGAGCGCCCTCGTGCGCCCTCGAGC